CTAATAACCCAGACTGCCCAGCAGCAGCAATGTGAGGCAAATGTTGAAGCCTCCAAGTGCCTGAGGCACACATCCCATATGCAGTTAGTGGGTACGTTCAACAGAAGTACAAGCTTTTATTTCTCCTGTGTATTTATTTTTTTCTTTTTCCAGAAAATTTTCAAACGTTATGATACGGATCATTCAGGAACTATTAACAGCTACGAGATGCGCAATGCAGTCAAAGATGCAGGTAATTCCCCCTGTGTCCAGTGCCCAACAACTGAAGAAACCTTATTTTGTTCGATGTATCACAGGGTGAGATCAGGAACACAGCTGTGATTTTTAAAAACAGATGCTAAAGAAATTAAAAAAAAAAAAAATTTTCCCCCAGAGCTTCTCAAATATCTGAATGGCAAGCCTTGTGTGTCCTGCCAACCAAACAGACCTCTTCAGCTCTTTAAACTTTCCAATGCTCTGCTTGTTTAAGGATCTCCCACTAAGGGTCCTGCTGTTCAGAGAGACCAGGGAATGCTGAAGGCATTTGCTCTCATTTAAGCTGTGGATTCTTTGTGATTGTGTAAGTAACAAAGAACAGTGGAAAACCTTCAACCCACATGTACAGGCACTGAAACCAAGGTGGAGCAGGTCAATGTACAGGTTTGCATCAGAGGCAATTGGATGGATATTTCTTGAGTCCTGCTCATATTTCTTAGGCCCTAAGCCACTGCAGGCTCAGTCTCCTCTTCTACTCATGCAGTGAGAAGAAAGTATTTTTGCAAAACTCGCAAGTTAATGAAATTCAGCCTGCAAAGAGGTGCTTTTGACTTTTCTTGCTTCTTGTCTCAAACATACCGGCGTGCTTCTTCCCCTGGACAGCAGGCCTCCCCCAGCAAATGTCTTGACCAGCTCTCTAAGAGAGCAAGATGACTTATTTAATCAAAAAATCTGAAGTATCACTAAAACCTAGATGAGAGGTTTTTAGTGATATTTCATCTTCAGGAATATTTTGGCACATCAGTTAGCAGTTCATCAAGGAACAGAAAGAGATGGCTGTCTTCTACTTTACAAAACATCAGTGATTTGATCCTTTGCTAAGCATAAAACTACACCTGAATTTGGACCCCTGTTGCAACAGAAATACACATCATTTCTATTTTCCAGGTTTCCATTCTCAGCAGGAAAGTTATCAATGTAAAAAAAAAAAATAAAAATTTAAATACCTCCTGCCCTGACTTTAGAACTAAGAACACATTTTACAATAAGAATTTCTCAGTCCTACAGCATGTAGGCTATGCATAACACTGCGTTTAGCCAACAACCGGTAGCACCCAAATCATGACAGACCCTTTACGCAGTGCAGTCACACACTGCAGCAGTCAGTGCCACAGCTTGGTAAACCCACGCCAAATTATCACATCAATTTTTTGACCGTTGTGTAATTGTGCTTTCAAAGCAACTTCCTGCTTCGTTTCTCTCGCCCAGTTTTTGTTGCTTTGCTCTTAGGCTCAGTGAAGCTGCAGAGTCTTTGGTGTGGACCTTTCCTCTTCATACTCGCAGCGTGAGGTAACTCACGTGCTATTTGCCCTCCCAAATCGTAATTTCAAAATGTTACTCCTGTTTTAAGCAAGCAGATGGAGACGGGGAAGCTTCTTATAGCTTTATTTCATTTCATTTAGTGGCTGCAGCAGTACCCTCCAGCCTGAGCCTGGGCTGGGCCTGGGAAGCCTCTACGGCCAGGCCGCTCCTGGAGGCCTGACGGGCACCGCTGCCGCCCCGGGGCTGGGGCCCAGCTGTGACCCGTTTCTGGTCCTCTGCAGGGTTTCGGCTGAACAACCAGCTTTACGACATCATCACCATGCGCTACGCCGACAAGAACATGAACATCGACTTTGACAGCTTCATCTGCTGCTTTGTGCGCCTGGACGCCATGTTCAGTGAGTGGCTGGCCTGGTGTTACTGGGCTGCCTCCCCTCCTCACCCCCAAAGCACCCGTACTCAAAGCAAAGGTTGTTTAAAGCACTACTGCCTATATATAGTATTAACAATTAAATATATGTGCTTAGAGAATCTAAAATGTAAGTCATCTCATACAGGCACAGAAGAAACCACTGCATTTCTCCTTGTGTTAGCTAAGGGAAAACACAGCAGAAAAACTTGCTGACCACATAAGTAAATACTTGCACAAGTGTGCATAATACAGCAGGAACACAGTTCGGTCTGCTATCTGGGATCATCTTTACATACACAGTAATTTAATCTACTCCATGTATTTTTATTTCCTTGCTTTAGGGGCATTCCACGCCTTTGATAAAGATGGAGACGGCATCATTAAGCTCAATGTCCTGGAGGTAAACTGCTTAGTGCCGGTATTTCTAACACAATGTCACAATACTAAATTTTAATCATATTATTTGTTGCACATGTTCTCAAGGGAGCCTAGGAAAGTTGCTCTGAAACTGTCAGCCAATTGATAAGAAACTGCAAAACCTCTTAAAAATTTTGGTACCGATTTTACATAGAAAACATCCATGATCTGCCAGCAACAGCTGCTCTGTACAACTCCAGTTGGTGCTGAAGGGCACAGCTGCAGACTCTTCATATCATATTTGAAGTGTTTCAAAAAACTTTTGAGATTTTTTTTTTAATGGGGCAATTTAAATCTAACATACCAATATGGTAATTAACTGATAGTGGGGCTTAACATAGTTCTTTACCTTTTGAAAATCTTACTAAGATGACTTAGAAAGTTTCAACTTAAAAACATGTCTTCTGCTAGAGCGACCACAAGAAAAACCCTTCACTTTTTTACAAGGGAAGGAGAAATAGGAGCAAGAAGCTTAAGACAAAATTCCCTACTACCACTATGCTTCCTACTAAGTGTCAGCAAGTAGCTGCCCTCTAGCTAGAGATGGTGGTGTCTCCATAGAGTTTATTGGAGGATGCCAACAAGTCTTCCCTCCTTTAATTCTAACTCTTCTTCCAGTGGCTGCAGCTCACGATGTATGCGTAACAGTGGAGTCATCGGCCACCTTCATCAAGAACATGCTTAAGACTTCTGTTTTGAGTAATTAGTTCCATTCATCCCCAAGTGTAAACAAGAGCGTTTCCTAATTATGTGCTTTGCTAACCAAGACAAACAGCGCATGGGAAGAAGCCCTTGGAAGAGATAACTGCAGTCCAGTAAGCAAACCGGTGCAGATATTCTGTAACTATTTTTATAACTTCCTGACATTTTCCTTTGGGCAAGGATTAATTTACTGAATTGGCTGAATTAAGCTTTTTATGCGTAGTAAAGACATAGAGCATGCACCGTGATTCTACTTATGCTGACAACTGGAAAAGTCTTCACTCAAGTCAGGCAAAACTGGGACTGCACCTTAACTGTGAAAGTCAGAGGTGTTTACTACCACCTTGTAATTAGTCATTAACTCGTGGTCCTGCTTTTGATACTGTGATTTCAGTCTCTTCATAATGTTGACTGAATAGTTCACATGAGATTGTGCTAGATTAGTATTATATGCATGCCAGTCACTTCTGCTGTTTCAGATAGGGTTGTGCAGGTCGGTTCTCTGCTATGCTAGGAAGAAGGCAGTAAGGCACAGCAGCCTGCAATACCTGGGTACGGCTTGGTCCAGTGCTGCAGCAAACGTACCAGAACCAAGCAATTTGCTCCCAGTTTTAGCACCCCCAATACTTGATTGCACATTGGACAATTTAAATGTTTTTTGTTGTTACTGTCGTCTCTGTCACATGGAGAAAGCTGTTTCCCATTCAAGACAGAAAACCTCTTCTACATACAAATTTATATATTCACACACACACTTCCCTCCCTCCTCAGGGTCCCATTTCCTGACAGTTTGATGTATTTCTTTATTGGAAGCAGTGACTCATAGCAGAATCAGACACTATGTTGGCATGACCATGTTGGGAAGATTATTAGAATGTGGAAGTACAATTAGTTTAATTGAACTGAAAATAAAATCAACTGGATTTTGGCCTAACTGTTAAGATTGTTTTTATTTTGAAAAAATACTTGCCAGTTTGCTCCTCAAATGCATTAAAAAAAAAAAAAAAAAAAAAGGGAATTAGGGAATTGAGCTTGAGAGGTTCCATCATTACCAGGTTTAAGGATGACACGCTCTCAGAACTGGTCAATCGTCGATCAATATAAAAATGGAAGGAAAATCTAAATCTGCAAGAGAAACTCTGGTCTCTTCACACCTTATCAGGAGAACTTTCTAGCTAGTTCTCTAATGGTCAAAAGTAACAAAGCAATCCACCATTGTAAAGCAAAATTGTGAAAACAAATTGTAGCACCAACTCAAAGTTTTTCTGTTAAGTAGTACATTTAACTGAAAGGTTACTAAGAAACAGAAAACTTTTATAGTCAAAAGTTCTTAATGGGGTCTTGCACTGTAACTTACTCTGGAAGAGTAAGAAAATCCTATAGTGTATCTAAAGAAGAGTTAGTCTCCTTTATACTCAACTTCTGTTTTAACCCAAATCACATTTTTAAGATGACTGGAACACTAGGAGTCCTAGGTTCCAGCCATGTGTTATCTCCACTAAGTTACTATTTTCTATGCAAAAAACACGTCGGAGGTCCCCTTAGGTGGGAAATTCAGAGAAAACCAAAATCTATCAGTCAAAAGATCAAAATCAGGATTTTTGATTGGCAAGTCAAACCTGGTCCTTGAAGTCCTGGTGAGTGAACTACCGACAGCTCCTGAGAACTCCCCTTTGCTGTGGGTCATGAAGCAAGGGAGTCAGGATGTCGTCTTGGAGGCACCAGCTGTGTGTGTGGACATTCGCCCTGTCAAAGGACTAGGTCTGAGATTCCTGCACGCTGGGAGCAAAAGCCTGCAGTATTCCTGACAGCGCTGGAGCTTCAAAGTGTCTAGTCTGATTTTATCCAGCCCTCTCATGGAAGGAAAAAATCCAAAAGGAAGTCAAGTTCTACCAAATCCTGTGAAAGAATCATTGTATTCATAACAAAGAAGAATCAGACTGACAAACCATAACAATATAAAGAACTTTTATTTTTCTTCTTTTTTTTTTTTTCCCCCCCTCTTATTTTTTTATACTTTTGCTGTGTAAAGTTTCATTACTATGCTCACAGCTTTGTACCAAAGTGAGAGAAGAAAACCAAGGTCAATCTGTGCACATGTTCTACACAGCTTAAATTATTAAATATTCCATCATGTTGTTTTATTCCACTTGCATCCTTCAGAAAGACTGTTTAACATGTAGAGCAAAATAAAATTTGAGAAGATGGCAGGCACATGTAACAGAATATATACCTACACAGTTTGCTCTTTCACTATTAAATATTTTACAGTCAGTAGCTGAAACTGTTTCCTTATCTTTCCTCACATGTTCTGCAACTCTGGACAACTTCAACTGTTTGAATGATAGTACCATACAAGCCTGAAAACCAAGATCCATCTGTACCTGTGTTTTAATTCAAAAGAAGGGAAAAATATTTTCTCAATACCCCATCCTTGTTGCTGGGAACCTGCAGTTTATTGTGAGTTTTCAGTTATCGTTGACCTTGATCTGGCATTACTGTACAGTTTGAAAATGTGCATTAAGAACTGCATTACTTCAAACACACTGCACAGCCAAACTCCTGCTATTTTACAGAAGTCAGCTCATGCGCTGCTGATACGTTTAAAGTCTGCAATTCACACCTAAGTGGCTCAAGGCAAGCAGAAGCTGGGATATTTAATGCACCTTCGTACCAACTGATGCAGCAGTTGTCCCTCCAGCCCCATCCACACACAGAAGCAGCAGCTTTAGGCCATAGAGTATTTTGCACTGTCAGTTAGCTGTTATTTTACCCTGTGATTTGAAGGAGAAAAGAGCAACAAATATAGACCAGAGTGGTGTCTTATCATTCAATACACGTGAGGCTATCGGGGTTGGTAAAGGTTAAGCTTTGCAGCCCACTTGAACTTCAAGTGACCATTTTAGGCTACTCACGCCCTCTTTTTGGAGCTCAGGCAGGGCTTGGTATGCCTCTGGCACAACAATTTCTCATGCTTTTGAAGAGAATGATGTAACTGGTTTCAGTAGCACCTGGCCCATTCTTCATGTCATAAAAGTGTACAATGCCTCTGAGCCCTTTCTATCTGCCGAGGAGACTCACAGATTAATAGGCACAATGTCAGTTCTGCTCCTGCCAGATGTTGTCAGCCACAGAGCAAGTCCAGAGCTCATTATTTAACATTTGACTAATAAAATAAACACAGCTAACCACAAAAATCAACCCTCACTCTACTCACTCTTCCACCCACAACGTTTTACTTGCGTAACAAACAAATTGAAAAGAAAAATAGTCCTGAAACAGGCTTCAGTTGTGCAGTACTGCTTTCCAGGCAAATGTGACTCTTAAATTTCACAAACAGTCCACCTTTCCAAAGTTATTACACTCTTTGACCTGAGGTTTATCAGGAGTCAAAACCCTAAGTTGCAAGGTCGGAGAGGACCTCATTAACGGCCACCAAGCCAATACATTAGTGTGTCTCTTCCACAGTTGCCTCCAGAAGTGAACTGCCAACAGCGAAAGCTGCACCAGATTCCTGATGAACAAGTAGGAAACCTCCTCACAGAACTCCAGAGAGGCCTGGGCACTTCCACGGCTGCACAGCTTCATAGCAAAAAAGAGATCCTCAGGGCAAAGCAGCACAGCATTTTCCTCTGAACCCCTGAGCAATCTTAAAAGTTGTTTTTAATTTGTGAAGCAAAATTTTATAAACACTTGTGCAGCTCTGCTATTTTCCTGCTTGTTACCCATTTTAAGATTCTTACAATACATCTGAAATGATGCAGAAATTTGGAAGAGATGCCACTGCTAAAACTAAAGCTGGATTTCAGAAGTCCAGACTTTTCAGGAGAACTGTTTTCAAGGACAGATAAGAAAATGTCATGGAGTACAAGAAAAAGAAGCCTGCTTTCACCAACTAGAAGAGATAAACCCAACAAGCAATCAGGAATGCAAATAAAGTGTAATAACTGTGTTTGTTGCAACACCTAGTGAGAAAGATCTTTACATGTTCCTGAAAACAGTTGAAAGAACGTGAAGAATCACAAGAAAGAAATAACAAAATCCACTCTCACACACCATTTTTCAGAATGCTACAATCACTCCACATGCTTGTCCCTAGAACACACACCTCCACTTCAAGCACAGCCCATGAAGGACAGCTTGAGACATTCACATTGTTTATGCCACTTTTCTAGATGCTCCCTCGCTGTGGTTCAAAAAAAAAAACCAAAACCCAGAAGAACTCTTGAATATCAGTAATTTTGGAAATGGTTTAAGTATTATGCAGCCTTCTGCTTTTCGGTCATGGGAAAAAAAAAAAATGTTCTCAGAGACTTTAGAGCAATAAAGCCTGCATCAGAAAACATTTACACTGCTCAGAGATTTCCCTGAACTGGATTCTCTCTTGAATTGTTTCATCCACAGACCACAGAAATAAAGAAAAACAAAAAAGAAAAAAAAATCCAAAACCACAAACACACACCCTCAAAATCAAAACAAGAACACCCTCAAAAATAGCCTAGGGCTTGAGCCACATATTGGGTTTTTTTCCCTGTCCACAAAACAGCTTAATAAAAAGCCCCAAATCACCACAAAAAGCATTGTAACCTCAGAGATTCGCATGTCTTTGAAGTAGGATGCTATTGCATCTCGTTCCTATTTTACTCCTGTCTCTCACAAAAAAATTATTCATGTCAAGCAATTACAGAGAAATTATGTTTAGCAGATAAGACAACAGAAAAATAGGGTGCTTCAGAGAAGGCCCTGAAGTTCCTTGATTTGATGGCAGTGGAACACCCATGGGCATTCCTCAGTCACTTTCTTGGCCTAAAAAGGCTTCTTTATAGTCAAAGAATGAGGCTATAGAACTTATTTGGTCTACGGTTGGTATACAGATCCTCAAAGTAGTGGTGAAAGAGATGCCCAGTAGAAGTAGCACATCCAATTTGTTTGGAACGTGCTGAATTCATTTATAAGCTGCTCAGTTTGGACACTGGGCTGTCCTCACCTTCTGGTTATAGTTTAAGGAAACCTCTGCTTTTTTGTCCTGAGCAGCAATTTAGGCAAAAGTGAACACAAAGCTCCTTGCTAGATGAGCCTCGTGGCTTAGAAGAGCTCTTTGCTAAATGAGCGTCATTACGGGAGAGAGGATTGCAAATGCAGGTGTGTTTCACTGAACTCAATGGGTAAAGTTTTCCCACCTGCAGAGGAATCCTGACAAGCTGAACAGCCTTTCCCTCTGCACTGGCTTCTTTGTGGCATCTTCTGTGCATTAGTAGAAACAAGACTTTTACACGTGATATGCATTTTGTATCCTCAGGTTCTGCTTGAGAGCTTTAGACTTTAAAATCCTGCTCCATTCTTTCCAGCTGAGATTTTGTGAACTTGATATAGCCCAAGCCAATTAAGGCAGCTCACAACAGGAACTAAACATTACTTAAGTGGATGCACTTAGACAGGCAGTGCCTTTGCACTTCTCTTGGCTTGCTATGCCATCAAGATAGGGGACTGCAAAGCTCAGTCACCACAATTAAAAATAAAATCAGGAATCGGTGGTTATGCTGGTATTTAACTAAAACAAAAGGCAACACCACTTACTTCTTTCCTATACATAAGGACCTATATTTAAAAAGACTAAGATTGCAAAGCACGTGAGTGGGGCCACTGTTCTGGATGTTTTGCTGCTACTGGCATATCTCCCAAGAAAGAACTGCTTTCCTCCAAATAAACCAAATGCCTCGGGAGGTACGGTATTTAGTCTGTCACTGTATATATTGTGCCAGTTATAGCAATTTTTACACAAGGAATAAAAAATAAGTTACAATTAACATTAAAAAAATTGATTTATTCTGGTTCTCCATAAAATAACTTTTCTTTTTATGAAGAAAGTCAAAATGCACCCTGGATATTCAGGTTGCACTGTTAGAATTTGTGATATCCTGATTTGCAGAATTTTATTAAAATTGGCTAAAAAATTGGATACAACATGAAAACAGAGGTGTCTTAGACACTTAACAGGCTTCAAGCTGAGTTTGCAAACACCAGCACCTATTGGATTCTAAGTTCTCAACACCCCTCTGAACTTACCAAAGATTCTCAGACTATGCTTCTTAAAAAAAAAAAAAAAAAAAAAAAACAAACCAACCAACAACTAACAGAAAAAACAAACACCAGAACACCAAGGCAAAGGAGAGGAGGGAATATTCTTATCTGTAAATGAATTAAACACTTGCAAGAACATCCATTTGGGCCAAGTCTTAATTGACCAGCCTTATTTCTACAGAGTGCAACACAACGTGCAGTCTCTGTAGCAAGGCATTTCAGCCCCACTCCATTTTTGCATTCCAAGTGGGAAAAGAAAGAGGAAAGACTGAAGTAAGGAACTGATGTAGTTTGGAATAATTCTGATGTATAAAATTACTTCCCAATGTGGGAGGTGAAAAGCTTCATGAGTCAATCCTGCTGTCATCCTCAGCATGTCTTTCAATGTGTCCTACAGCATCCTAGAAAAGAACCAGAGAAGTCAGTTAATAATAATAAATAATAATAACAAATAATAATCATCACCATAAAAAAAAAAAAAAAAAAAACAGACAAAAAACTGCAAAAGATTCTTGAAGCTTCAGTGAAAGTGACATTCTGGATAATATAAGTTTTCTGGCTTAAAGCTTCTAAACAAGCAAAAAAAAAAATCCATGCCAAGCTATGAAACCACATATATAAAGTATCTCACATACGACATGATTCAAGGCAAATAAAACCCAGCTTCCTTTCTAACTAGAAGAGTGTATCAAACAAACATATCCAAAGCCAGCGCTTAAAGAGAAATTAAAGATTCTACTTCTGTTTCTTAGTTTTCAAAGAAACCTCCCTCCATTGCATATTTTGAAAAAGCACTCAACAGGAAGGCAGTTTATACTGACAAGAAGTAAAATGTGGATTTTACCAATCAGTCCAGAGGTAACAACCCACTTCCCACCCACCCCAAAAAACCACTTTCCACATCACTTAATCCAATTCTTATGTCTTTTTCATTTCTTTCTTATCTGTGCTAACATTTATTCAGAAATTCATGCACTCCTTATTCAAATACTGTTAGCAAAACCAATCTCATGTGAAAAATAAACAGCATCAGCATCTACAACAATGAAAGGGAGTAGTGATGGATAAAAATTAAGAGGATAAACACCTGTTTCAAGATTGATGTTTGTTCATCTTGAAAATAATTTTCTCCTACAAAAACTTAATAATATCTTCAGTATAGTTGTCAGAACTTCTTATAGTATTTCAAGATTTTTACCATTTCCATGTAATATTTTAGGATCAAACCGTTTTAAATTGACCATATCTCAAGTTATCATATTTAGCTGCACTCTTCATCTGTCACAGGTTGTACTGAAGTCTATTAGCCTTGTATGACTGTAACTGTATGCAGCTAAGCCTGTCAAGACTAGAAGAATTTAACCCTTCTTAAGAAAAACAGGATCAAGTCCCACAATTGTGGTGACATAAAATACTTCATACTACAAAACACAACCACACACCTGCTTGGAACCTTTCCTAGAAGTGAAGAAAGCATCACAGTTCTTCCAACGACATTTCAGAGTCTGAAAATTTGGGTTGGTGTGGTCAGTTAGCAAGTGTTGTTTCAGATGGTCCACAACTCCAAAGATCAGTGAACATCCATGCCACTGGTAGAAAAAAACATGCCAGAACATGACAGGGAGAGAATTTTAGCTAATGCTTTCCTTCTTGCAACTTCACAATATTCTACTGAGACTGTTCACATACATGCCACGTTCTGTAACTTTTAAATGTTATTCCATTTCCATTCTCAATGGTCTCTATTCCTTTAATTACAGCTTTACAGTGATTGTTTTTGCCTCTAGCCTAGCCTAGACCTTTAGCAAGAATGGCAGGAGGAAGGCAAGAATTAACCCTCTGCAAGATTTAAGTTTACCCGGGACAGAGTTACTGGGAATTTAATTCAACTTATTTAGAAGAGTAAATTAACTTTTCACCGTCACTCAGATGAAGTTTTTGGTGTTAAACACTTACATGTCACTATCTAAAAACTGCCAGAAAGAAAAATAGTTTAAGATGCTACCATAAACTTGCCTCAAAGCATATGCATATACTAAAGACCATGAGAAAAGGAACTAGTGATACATACTTACATTTAAAATGTACATATACATTTAAAAAATATTACTGAATTATAATAAAGGTCAAGATATCCAAGACTGAGTAGTGACCACCCCCAAAAAATTAGTCTAAAAACTATAACAAACCAAGGCTAAAAACATTTTGCTCATTACCCAGCAACGATAATTCTGCATCAGATTAAGCCTCACAGCTCTGACACTGCCATCATAGCATCCAGTGTAGATCTGTAAAAGAAACATTTATGGATAAGTAACCTGGGAATAATAGAGGAAAAAAAAGGAAGTAAAATTTTGAAGGAGGCTTCAGTGTAGAGTCTATTAGGTGAAAAACATAGTATCAACATGCAAGGCTTCTAAATAAAAAAAAGTCTAACTTAATTCTTTTAAGATTTGCATTCATAAATTACAAAAACCTACTAACAAATAAGAAATGTTTTCATAACTTCTACTATGATAGCATCATGTGTATAAAAGTTCCCAAAACTTTAAAATATGTTGCTATCCACTGAAGTGAAAAAAATTTAGGTGTAAATGTCAAGTTGAATATATTTCCGGGACTTAACTACTGATATGTAGATCAAAAAGGGATGGAGAGAAAGGATGAGGAGGAATATCAGAATTTCAGAAAGAGAAGACTGATGCAGATTGTGAAAAGGTAGGCAAAATGGCAGCTTAAAAAACACTTTTGTTAAGCAGATGCTTCACATAAAATTGTCTTTTGGAAAGAAAAGCATGTCAGACACTCCTAATCCCATAAAGAACATTCATCATTAAAAAATGTCCTCACATAATACAGAAAACTCCGCAAGCGGAAGATTTGTTATTTTTGTTCAAGTCTTTTTGTCTCTTGGAAACTCATCACTAGGATATAACAGACTATCTGCTGCGTGTTACAGACTACACTTTACTACTAAAACTACTCCAGCAAATTATGATCTTTCACTCATCACTCAGCTTCTTATCTGAACACTTCTTTGATTTGTGAATGCCCAGAACAGATGGCTGCTGGGGGACAGTTCAAGCCTCAGGCTGTACGCACAAAGCCTGAGTGCCCTTAGCTCTCCACCTCACTCACATGAGAAGTGAAGCTCGGGCCAAATCTATTCCAGCTAGTAGAAGATCAGTTATGTTCGACCTGATTCTTCTGTTAGAGGTCATTGCTATACCACTTATTTCAGAACCTGAAAGAAAGTTTGCAAACAAATTCCTACAGATGCAGGCAAATAAGTTATTTTAATGACTATTTTAAGCAAGTTAATATATTAATAAATACAAAGCTGTTATATCAACTTTTGACTAAGTTCTTCTTAGTCAGACAGCAGGTTGGTTTCACTATCTGAAAAAAATTAGATTGCCTTGTACATTCTTGTGGAAATTAGGACCTTCTCTTTGAGATCAGTGAAAAGAGGGAAGTTACCATGCTCTTATGGATGGTCATACACATGATCATGTCTGTGTGGCCTCCATAGACTTGCAAGCGGTCGTGTGACTTGAAAGAAACAGAAACAGACATTTAATAGCATGACAGTTAATAGCCCTTTTTCACAGAAATGCAAATCACAATGCTTCCAAGAGCAGTTTCCTGGGTAGTAATTAAACTCCTCTGGTGGTTTCCAGACTTCACAGCCCCCATGAAAGCTCACTTTTGCTTACATTACGTCTGTGAGTCTTTGTCCAAATAAGCACTTTCAGCAGGTAAAACTAGTATTTACCCACTTTTCTGAGCTGTCATTGTTTTAGGATAACCCAGGTTCTAAAAAAAAAAAAAAAAAAAAATTTAGATTATATTCTTTACATTCCATGTATTTTGGCTGGTGAGACAACTGTATATTCTGAGTCACAGGAAAGAGGGGGATGGGCCAGAGACCAGAGAGCACAAAGATGACTTCTGTTTGATTCAAAATAATTAAACACATCCTAGGTAAATGTCATTAATAACCATTTATTTTCTTACCTGCAGTTCATAAACACGAACAAATTTATCCAGACATGCTGTCACCATCACTTTCCCAAGAATGTTCACAACCGTTACTGCATGGTTATGGCCTTTATAAATCCGTACCAGCTCTCCAGTCTGCATCAAGAAAAAGTAAAGGCAAATAGGTGTTTGTTGTGTTTTTTTTTAAAAAAACAACAAAACAAAACAATTCTACCTAACCTAGATAGGGTAGCTACCTTCAATGCTCACTACTAAAGAAATGGAAACACTTTTATTAGGCTTCCATTTCCTGTGAAGGCACTTCTAGATTATTATCAACTACTACTTATCCTTTTCTTTGCCCATGTTTGTGGTAATACTTGCAAAAGCATGATTCCCAGATAAAAAGACATTGTATATTATATTACAAGAGTCAGCATGTTTATGTATCCTCTGCATGCCTCCTTAATTAGCCATAGTGCATAGCCACATTAACAAAATCATATGACTTTGCTTCCAGGAAACGACCTACCCCATCAGTCAGTCAAAAATTCTGGTAATACTGATTTTATAGCACAGGAATTCTGTGCCTTAATAGGAAAAGTCATTCCAACTTTATATATGAGACTTACATGAATGTTGTGGGCATGGACAGACTGATCGCTGGAGCCACTGAATACCAGATCATTCACAACCTTACAAAACAAAAAAAGTGGGGTTTTTTGTTACAGATATGGAAATGGACAAGGAAAACTTCAAGACACTGTTCAGTTTAAAGTTGTAGTGTAATATTTCCTAAATTTGACAGTCTTAAAATCAATGGGGAGCACGAAGAAAAGGCATGCATTGAGTTCTTTACGTAAGATCTAGCAAATGTACCATGCTATCCTAATGACTTTTGACACTTCACAACCAGCGTGAGAAGCTGTTAACCTACAGCCCACCAGGCTAACTCATCCTGCCTATGGACTGTCGTCAGGGGCAGCTCAGCAGCAGTTCATGGACCAAGGAAACCGAATGCAGAATGCTGCTCTGCACATGCACAGTAATGCCCATTACCTCCTGAAATACTGGATGTGCTGTATACTTATATTCTGGTTATGTAAGGAAGACAGTCCTCCTGACAATTACTAATCTGGAAAGGAAGATTAACAGATCTGTCATGAATCAAGAAGGGACCACAGCACGCTGTCATGCAAGCAGGACTAGGATAAGCCACAGAGCAAGAAAGGGGGTGCCACTGCACCATAATATCTAAATTGACAAATACAATTGATGGAAGTCATCCCCTATCTGTTACATGATAATGGTCACAGCAAAGCAGTCAGACAAGCACATGTTCCATCTTCTAATCTCAGGAGCCAGAAACCTATAAATAAGTGCTAGTGATTCTTCCGTTAAAAAAGAATACTTCTCTGGAGTTACAATTTTTCCAGTTTCCTCTGAGGTTTGTACAATCGGGGTATGTGAAAACTAGCTTCAGCTTTTCTCCAACTTTCCCACTGTTGGTAAACTCCCATTTCAAGATTCCCTGAATCTTCTAACAACATGAAATAAATATGCTTCCTACATACACATTCCCAACAGTTTTGCTAGGAACATCAGATATGGCAGTGAGCCAGAGACAGTTTTCCTACCAAATTACTTATTTTTTATAAGTTAAAATAGGTAAATCCTCCGTTTCCTATCACAATCTGCTCACTAGTAGAGGAAAGAGAAAACCCACACCATTTTAAGCATTCTTTGTCAAAAATGTGTTTTCAGAAACACTTGCCTTCATGCAGAGTATAGTCTTGCTGTGACCCTCCAGGGTTCTGAGAAGCAGCCCATTCCGTGCATCTCGCACGCTGATGGTGCAGTCATAGGAGCCCACTACCAACAACTTGCGTGCTCCTTCCTGAGCTGTGGCTAGACAGCTCACTGCTCTAGGGCCGTGGCATTCAAAGGTATCAAGCTGCTTGTTGTTCTGTTGGGGGAGGAAAAAATGGTATTCAAGAATTAAAACTTTGCTATGACACTGACTAGACCACTGAGTCCTTTCTGAGCTGTACTTGCTATAGCATCTCATTTCAGTTTAGTGACACACCATTTCAGCAGTGGTAAGAGTTGCATCTTAACAACTAAGTTTCCAAATCAAGCAAGTAAATCCTATGTTAGGTTTCCATTGTCTGTCTTTTAAAAAACAATTTAATTATTTCACAAAGGTCCAGTAAATCCTCCTTACAAGTTCAAACAATGAGAGGAAATAGTGTTGTAAGAAAAACACAAAACAAGATAAGTTTGTAAGGGTAAGTTTGAGAAATTAGTCTAGGATCCATGAAAAGAATATTCAGAAAAATAATTTATTTAAATAATTATTTTTGTTAACTTTTAAATATCATGGGGACTGCTGACTAAGTCTCTTTGCCAGAAAACCACGTAAATGAGTCTCTTCTGTAACTGCAAATGGAGCAGAAAAACCAGCACCGCATGGAAGTCTCTCACACTACTCTGATGGGCAAGAACAGAGAATTCACAAATAATCAACTGTGTCAGAAAACCCTCATGACACATGACTGGCAGGCCAGGTGGAACCTTAAGGAAAAACATGACAACAATAGAGCAACTCAGAGAAAGGGAACCCAAGAGAAGGGGAGATGGAACAGCTTCATGCGCTGACAAAATAAAGGACCAATAGGGACCAACAGTGAGCATCTATACCAAAGTACTTTAATTACAATATTACTCAAGAGAAAGAATGGAAGGAAGCACAAAGTGGAGAGAAACAGCACTGCAACAGACTTTTAGGTGCCAGTATTTAAGCAAACTAACCTTTATGCTGAAAGTAACCACGCTGCCATTTGCAAGGCCTGCGTAAAGGATCCGCCATCTACTGTGTAAACAAAGCACTCGATCTTCCAATTTAAACTGTTCCATGCGCTCTTTGGACTGGCAATAGAAAAAAGTATTTAAAGCTTTTCAGTAACTGAAAACAATTCAAGGAAAAAAGCCTGAAGTGAATGATGATTTTCACCTACCAGCTGCATTTTTTGAACCAACAGAGCCGGCAAAATACATCTAAAAGTCTGGTGTCACATGGCAGTTTGATCCTGATTTTAATCAGCTCATTCCCACCTCCGAGACTGGACTGTACTTTAGCAACCAGTTATAGCCCTAAAAGCTTTATTCTTGTCAGACCTTTAATGTATGCAGAAGTTTATACTACAGGCTATATGTATGTATCTATGAAAAACACCCCGTTACATGCCAGAGTTTGAGGAATCCCCATGAAGTCCCCCACAGGGAAGTGCCACAAATCATCAGCTTAAGAGTTGAAAACCTCTGGCAGTTTGCCCCCCGAAGCAGACATTTGCTTTTTAGTCCTTCAAGCCACAGGTTGTACAAGCCTTCCTATCATTTATCCTTAAAAGTCTAGCTTCAGAAGGTCTCAGTCTGCTCTTCCACCTGCCCTCAGAATAACAGATACTTCTTCCCTCTATAGCTGCTCTACAAAGAGAGCAGTGCCTTCCAGAAGTAATGAAGTTCGAAATACAGCAAGACAAATGCGATACTCCTGGACAGACAACCATCCTACACTTTGGTGTTCCCAACATTCAGGAACCTGTCATGCCATTCTGGCAAAAACTCTGCTGACAACCTGGCCAAAAGATTAGGGTAGTAAATCACTTAATGGTTTGCTAGGTTGGTTGTGTTTTTTAGTTTGGTTCTGCCACCCCACTCTAATGAGGTATGAAGTGGGGCTCATGTCCAGCTCATATGGGTTTAAAAGGCTTTTTTCATTTATATCTGCAAAGAAACACTCGCATAAAAATGCAGTACATGTTAATCAACACGGAATTTGAGTACCTTAATATTGTAACAGTTGATAGTGTGGTCGCTTGAGCCAGTGTAGAGTGCAGCATTCTTCCCATTTGTCTGAGTGACCAGGAGACAGTTCACTTTTGAAGTATGTCCTTCAAAGATGGCCACACACTTCCTGCTCTAAAAAGGAAAGCATATGGTCAGTCAACATAAAGGCCCATAATGCCTCTCAGGATCTGCACCTGACAGAGTAGGGTGGGACAGCTAACAAAAGCAGGACACATGCAGTGACCTATCTCCCCTTGCCCCTCTGATAGGGAGGAGGAGTTGGGGAAAGGGAGAAGTTTGAAGAAAAGAATAGCATTAAAAAAAAAAAAAAAAAAACAGGCACTTGAAAAAGCAGCTGCTTCCTTAACTACGTAGTAAGGCTTTACAAAAACAGAATTGCAACCCTGTGACTGCAAATAATGCAACACCATTCCCACAACCTTACTTACAACCAGATTGTAGGCACAAACAGTTTTGTCCGCTGAGCAGGTATACAACAAATTCCCAAAAATCTGAATAGCATTCACTGCAGCCAGGTGTCCCTCAAAGTTTCCTTCCGTAGGTTCTTCATCCTCACCTGGCTCCGAAGACACTTCTGTAGGACAGAGACACATTTGGTTATGAGAACACACTCAACTATTGGGTGGGCTCAGCATCTTAAAGTCAGATTTCATTGTGGGTCCCAGTTGGAGCCTGTAAGTGGCAGAGGGCAATATAAAATGCCAGAAAAACCTTTATATTCACAATGATCTTTAAAATAGCAAAAGGATTGTATTATTGTTTGTCCTACAGCTCTACAGGAACTGTGGAGGAGAAGCATTCGTGTGGGAGGGGATGGAGGGATGTGGAGGGGTCAAGGCACAAAGCATTCAATGAGTCCTGCAAGATACTATACACAAAGGATCAGAAGAAAAGCTTAAAAGATATACCTGATGAGTTCTTTGATCCTCTTAATGATGATATGGAAGTCTGCGTCTCAGCCACACTGTAAGACAGAAATGAAGAACAGTGAGATTCGACTTTGCACACTCATTTTCAGACGAAATACTGGTGAGAGTAATATTGCAAAATACAAGACTCTGCACTTAGTTGAAAACAGGCTGTGACAAATAAGCTCAAAACAAAACTTCCCACGGAGGGCAGCCTTGTTCTTGTATTAGAGAAATTAGTATGCAACAAGACGCATTCATTTGTTGGACGAAAAAAGCAAATTAAATTTTCATCTTGCCTCTTATTTCACTCCTGAATGAAATTAAAAGTTACTGATGTTGTAAGACTTTCTGAGTAGGAAAAAAAAAAAAGTAAAGAAAAGAAGAGAGGCCTCTTCTAAATATTGTACAATGATTTTACTTTTGAGAGACCTACAATCTCACCTTTTTTTCCCACCATCCCTGCAATTTGTTCCAATCTCACTGGTAGAGCTCACTTCATCATAACCAGAGCAAGACGCCTCTAGGACTGCTGGATCCACAGAGCTGCGTGAATCTGTCTTTGATGGACTGTCTGGTTTCTCAGCTCCCGACTCTGATGAACCAACGTCAACCACCTCACACTGAGGTGCTGGCACTTCCACCAGTTCCAGAGAAGCGTCACTGTCATCCTCATCTTTGTTTCTTGCTGTTTGAGCAGTAGCTCCATTCTCCTGTCTTGGAGGAGTGGATGTAGTAACCTTTTCTCCCTTAGGAACCTTTCCACCCTTGACTTTCCGGGCAGGCTTAGAGTCAATTATATCCTGTTCTGTGTCACTGTTCTCTGGCACATGGGCTGCCCTCAGAGTTTTTTTCTTCCTTAACCTTCTCCTCCTCCTGTTCCCTTTTTCTGCTGGGACTACAGCGATTGCCGTCTGTTGCTCAGATGGTTCTGCTGACAGTTTGGGGGTTTTATCCATTGGCATTTCTAGAAGGACTGAATGTTTTTGAAGAGAAGGGCTACACTGATCCAGTAAAAAGCTTTCAGTCGCTGTATCATTTGCTTCTCTCTTGCTGAAAACAGATAGTGAATGAGGAGAAGGGTTTTCAGAACGTCCAGCCTTTCCCCTATCCACAGCAGGCTTGTGAACATCTGGATTAGTGTGCTGCAAACAAGCGGCCAGCTCTGACAGGGATATGGTTGCAGAGATAACTGGATACACTGAAGTCTTCTGGTGGCTCTCTTCTGAAGAAAACAGACTAGTGTTATATTCAATTTGTACAGCAGTAAAATATCTACGTAATTTGCTTTCCCCACATATTTCTGTTTATACTTAATCATGCATGTAAAGGACGTATTCCTACATGCTGAAAGCTGTGTGGACATGCAGATCTGTTATTTCAATCAGCTATCCAGCCTTTGAAAAAACATAGCTGGAGAATAAAATGCTTATCTGTGTACCCAGAAGCAAATCAATGGGGCACATCATTCAAGCTGCTGGCTGACTATATGTTTTTAAAGTTCCGACAAACAACCTTTGGTGAATCCTGCATGGTCAGGCTAAGGTGCTCCCAGCCTTCACTGTGTGTACTCCTTTACCAGCTGTCACCGCAGTCACAGGACTGGTATTAACCAATGCATGCCTAATACATCTCAGCTGCTCAGTGACACAGTTTGAAGACCTTGTGCTTAACTCATCTGCACTAATTATTTCTACCAAGTTACTGGGACCTAACCCAGCATAGATGAGGGACACACAACCTACTCTGCAGCACTGTACCTTCTACCCTGGGAATGGCAGCACTGTAAGCCATCAGGGTAAGCTGCGTTACTTCATCTGTGGTGGACTAAGCGATAGAGCAAAACACACTCTCCCTGTCATTTTCATCTGAAGCTAATACGAACAAATTAATCCAACCTCTCAACTGAGACAGGCTAAGAGCACAGGCAGCACCTCACAGCTGTGCTTCCCACACCCTGAAATTCCCCGGCTGCATGTGCAGTAACTACAACCCAGAAGATGATGTTTCAAGTTCCCTGAATTTATTGGGTGGGATCCCTCAATGTGAATGGGAAGCTGGCAGCATCTGAAACACTTCCTGGTTCAGTCTCTTAAACCAACAAATTAAACCTACAGCAATGCTTAGACAAAGCTGTTGGACCGTTCAACACATCACAGTACTAATTTGATGCTTTGGAATTACACATCCAACTAGAGACAGATAAATATGAACATCTTTCCCCACACCCTCCTCAGATGGGAAGTTCCAAGATAAAACTAGAACTTGCTGACAGCATAGGGTATATTGTATTTAAAGTAAATCAACAGAAAACTGTTTTTCCCCCAATCCATAACTGTCATACACAGCTGCAGCCTGTTAGAAAACCCTGTAACAGAAGAAACAATTGCTTAGACAAGGTTCGAACAGTTACTGTGTTGAATTATACTGGAAAGAATGCACACAAGCACTTAAATTCTGAATACACCTCTAACATTGTGCGTCTCTAATTTCCCACAGGATGGGAGAGGGAAGGAGCTTAGTCACTTAAAAACAAAACGAACATGAAAATAACAGTAACTGGCAACTTAAACTGAAATTTCTAAAACCGTAAGTTATTAATTCTCAGCACTTGGAGTACTGTAGGTGTTAGAAAAGGAAGTAGGAAATCACCATGGTAGTGCAAGAAAACAATCACTCAGTTCTGCAAGTGGGAGAGATTGCTGCTAATTAGGGGAAGCTAAATGCAATCAGATCCTTCAAAGCAAGGCTGAGCTGACAAGCTAGATGTTCCACCCCCAGCAAGCAGACAGTCTGCCCCCAGAGAGAATTCCTCACCCCCAAATTACAGAATTTATCTCATAGTAAATGCCTATTTCCTCCCCAAATTACCAAATTCATTTGATGGCAGACGCTCATTTTACATGTAGCACAAAGTTGATCAATACCAAAACCACATTAATTTGACAAACAAACATCAAAAGAACATTTTTGCTTTTAGTATGTTGAAAATAAGTTCATAGGAAACTCACAAATATGCTCATGTGATAAAGACGTTTTCAAAGTAATTATTTAAATAATAAATACAGCTATACATTGAAGGTTCATCTTTATGAGAAAAAATTTAAAAAGCCTTTTCAGCTTCTGTCGTGCCTGCAGACAGACACCAATAAAGTCTGAAGATTCTGCAAGCAAGACTCTTCATGCCACTGCAGCTAGTGATCACTACATCTTTATTCTGAATTTTCCAACTCTAACATTAAAGGAAAATGACACTTCTCTTCAATGATGTTTAAACATCACACAATGGCATATGACAATTTTCAGATACGTTTTTACATATGTTCACATGAGCAAACAGTGCCCAATACCCTTCTTTCAGTAAACTGTTTACTGAAATCACAAGTAAGATTGCATGAATTTTGAATGAGTGTCTCCAGACTAGTGGGATTTAGAGAGACAGAGAGGGGAAGAAGATGAATCTTTATTTTTAATATCACAAATTGTACTCTTTGTGCTTATCCAGCAGTGCCCAAGAAGAACACAGAATATTCTTAATGTAGTTGGTCATAATTTTTAAAAAAGATCTTCAGGCGTGCATTTTTCCCTTGTAGGCAGATTTTCAGCTACCAGTGTCCATTAAATGATGCAGAATAGAAGACAAAAATTACAGGGGAGGTTTTAAGTTTTGGGGATTTTTTAATTAACTAAATTATTCTAAGAGGATGTAACCTTCAAATTCATGTTTGCTGTAATTTTAAATTGAAACTAGAAAACCGTAGGTGCATATGACTACAATTTATATGTACTTAATTTCAAAAACATGGAATCCATTTGGACGTGTTGCAAAGAGGGTCCCAGTTTCTAAGACTATTAAGATGACCAAGTCCTACACTAGTTAAGGGGAGATCAACCCTGCACAACAGGCTGCAGATTTGAGACCCAACTTACATTCCTTTGGGAGAAAAAAACATTTTCCTTATTTTCTTAAAGCTAGTTCTCTTAAAACAAAGAAAAGCCAACGTACCATCCTTCTGCTCCACCTCTTCTGATCGTGAAGCACATCGAGAGCTTTGGATTACAGAATTCACATTTTCTTCTGAGTCTTTTGGAGACACAGGTTCTCGTTTAACTTGTACTGAGGAGTCGGGAGGAACAGCAGGTGTGATGCCAGAAGACTGGAATGGTGACTGCATGTTTACTTGAACAGAAGCTCCCAGTGGAGGTGCAGAAGAAGACAAAGTGTCCAAAAGGGGCACGAAGGAGCCTGCAGGAATTAAGTTAGCTGCCATCTGAGATTTGCTATTTCTTCTCTCACTTAAGACACTGCCAGAAATCTGCTCTGACAGTTCAGAAGGTTCATATGTTTCTAAAGGCAAAAGAGGAGAGGAAAAAACCAAAACAGAAGTGTTCATGTTTTACAGTAAAATGTAGTGGTGCTGAAAGCTCATTTTCTGTGGACACAGACAAGGAAGAGAAGAACTTGTAAAAAAGCCACTAGATGGCACTACCAAAGATGACAGACCACACCTGAACAATGAAGGCTTCAATATTGAAAACCTACAATTTCATTGCACATTTTAAATGAGTGAATTCAAGTTAAATGCAATTTTTACAAGATGCTGAGTTCAAAGAATATGAGAATGAGCATTCCACTGTTGTAGCTTTATAGTATGTCATACCTTGTAGCCCCTGCAAGATCTGAATTCTCTGACTTCTCAGTGTACTCATTTCCATGGTTATCTGCAAAACAGTTGTGGTTTAAATCAGTCCTGCTTAAGGCAGTTTTTCAGGCTGCTAACTTGGCGTTCAGGCAGTCTCAAAAGCCCACTGTTACCTGTTGCTTTAATACAAGGAACCGCTGAACCTCAACATAGGCAGCCTGCAGGGCAGCCCTAGCCTGCAAGAGACTGCTGTCCACACTATGCAGCGACTTGCTTAACTCTTCTTCCCTCAGCGAAATAGCCAACAAGTGGTCTACCTGAGAACGTTCTGAAAAACAAAATGTAGAGTATAATTGTACTTGACAATACGTTACATGATACCTCAACAAACACTACCGCCTCAGAATGTAAAAATCCCACAAATTAAGTCAAACATCAATAGTCATCCAAGAAGCTGAAAACAAACATCCATGCACAGGAATAGCCGTATCTACATGAAAGAAGAGCAAAGCTGAGTATTCCTTTTTACAGAATCTCAACCTTGACTCTAGTAACTACTTCCATCATAGCTTTGCCAGCACTGATTTAGTTAGTTGAACAAAGTCATTCTCTTCCACTAAGATCTTTTTTGGAAGTACATGTGTACATAAAGTACAAATACACATTTTCCATTAATGTAATAAAAAGGGCAAAGGCAAATCTAAGCTAAACAAGATTTAAATTATTCAGATAACCCAGAAGCCAAGGAAGGGCAGCTCAAGAGAAAAATAACCCAACGATAAAAAGTCATTTACTATCCAAGATGATTTGGCGCCATGAGATTCATGTTTGCAATCTCTTGAGAAAGAGTCTCTGAGCACTGTACGCAGTAGAAGATCCTCCTATACTACTTTCTAAAGTCCCCTGGCACTACAGAGATTCTCCAAGCAAATTAAGTTTCAGTTTGAATACTGCTTAGTTTCATTCAGGTTATAGTTTCCTTTAGTAGATTTATTACAATAACGATGATGATGAAGCAAGGTAATGGGAAAGAGAGACTTTACTAAGTTGAATGTATTATTAGTCGCCATAATAGACACTAGTCATTGAAGACAGAGGCTGATAAAGACCCCCAACTTTTCAAGTAGTGAAATATTAGTTCCCACAAGAAGATCTATATTAATTGCTCTGCATTCCAAACAACTCTTAATACAAATAAATAATTTTAAAAAGAGAAATGGAACTTTTGAAAGCTATCTTCTGGACCCCAAAGATCCCAGATGGTGATGCAATGATTTAGTTCCCAAACAAAACATTCTGCCTAAAACACAGATGGTTCATTTTGATGTGTGGTTATCTGGATGCATTAGGCATCTTTGAGAAAAACCTGCCTAATGCCAGAATAAGAGTTTTCTTTGGTCATAAGCAGGAAGGAGTGAGGCATTTCACATTTATTTCCATTGAGGACAGGGAAGGAGGAGTCAAAAAATAAAAAGTACTGCTGGAGATGGCAAAATCAGAACACAGCCCAAGTTATGCAGAGTACAAGCTTTCTGGTGAGACTACCCAGAAGTAGAAAGGGAAATCTGCATGGCTGAATTAGAAGGGAGTGATGGGTACTTCTCCCTTCAGAACTTCCATCTGAAGAGGTAACAAACCTCCCTTCCCTGAGCAGGGGAAAGCCAAGGTCCCATCTCTGCAACCAAGAACATGAACTGCAGACAGAAAGGAGGCACAAAGTCTTCTCTTCGGAATAACTTCTGACAAGTTAAGATGGGACTCTTCTGAAAAGTATGTTTTGCAGACTTGAGAGCAGTCCACCCTATGATCTTCAGTAAGAGCCCAAGAAGCACCAAAGTAACATTAAGGAACCACCATTTTAGCCAAGTCAAAATACTACCAGGTATTTATAACCTCTATACCAGATATACATATATATGATATTCACTCACCTTTTTTACCTTTGATTTTTCTTCTCTTATTCTTTCTTTCTAGACTAGGGATTTCAGGAGAAGATCCCTCCTGTAAGTAAAATCATTTATTAGCAAAAGGTACAAGCGCAATTTTGTCGAAATCAAAAAGTCAAACATCCACTGTCTTTTCAACCACTACTTGTACCCACCCAGAAGAATATACAATTAATTCTGCACATTCTCATATCACTGGTCCTTCACTCTGCCCTCAAAAGGGGAAGTGCCATGTCTGCATCTCAGCTAGGAAGAAATATTAAATAGGCTGACAACCTTCTACTTGCTCGGATATTTATGACCACACTTGGGTCAGATTTCCTGCTCTACAGTTTTAGTTGAAGGTCTAGAGGATTAAATCAGTGAAGAATTAGAATTACCACTTTCTGCATATAACAAAACCATTTGGAAGATTTTGATAAGAAACACTTTTTTTCCCCCTTTGGGAAAGTCCAAGACAGAACAGTGAAACAAATTCAGATTTAGGGACAACATTTTAAGTATATAATTTTGTAAAAAGGGTTGTCTTTCCTTAGTTGACCATAAAACCAGTAACATCTAAGGAAAACAAATTTCTAATTTCATTTAAGTCATGAAACATCAAGATTCTTGCTACAATACCAAGCACTTCCACGGAAATATTTTAGTAGCTCTCGTTTACCAGCATAGCATGCCATACCAAATCAAAATTAAAGAGCATTTGCCATTCATACTAATTAAAAAGGATTAAGCAGAAATCCTGCACTACCAAGGCAGAAATAGAAAAGATTCTTAAAGAAAATTCAGACAAACAAGCAAATTAGTTTGAGGCTATGTACGTACAAGACAACCAGATGGAGAAAGTCTTCCTTGCAGAGATCATTCCAAGGTTGAATGACCACTGACAAGGAAAAAACATCTTTTAGTGCATCAAAAGTGGACAAAATTGTACACTTACTCCAGTTGCTCTTCGTTTCTTTCCAATTCCTTGGCTGTCATTCTGCTCAGTACCAGACGTGCAGCTACTGTCTGTAGCTGCATCTATGTTATTAGACACTGCAAGAAGTGAAGCATTATTTGAAGCTGGGCGATTTTCTTCTGAGACTTCTAGTACATTTTGTTTTTCAAGAAGAGGGGTTCTCTTCTCTGGGCTCTCCTGGTCTTGTTTTGTAAGGCCTGTGACCTCAGGGGTGGCCTGTAGGCTGTGTCTCCTTCCACTAGTCTCAGTTCTTTCAGACATAAATGGTGACAAAGGAAGAGAAGATGTCTCCCGTTTCAAGTCAACCTCAGTGTCAGCACTTGCCTCGTACCCAGATGTTATGTGATGTGAGTGGTTGGCTGCAATTATTTGCCTTTGCCCACTTTCTTTTATTTTGGCTTGTTCACTGAAGAAGCTATAAGCAGAAGGATTTCTGTCTGCAATGACACTGCTTTCAGAAAAGCTACGTTTTCTGGTTGAGCCAGGCACTGCTAAGGAAACCCCTTCCCACTGGAATCCTTCCAGAGTAGACAGATCAGATTCTTCACCGAGTTCTAGACCCTCTTGCTCATTTTGAACAAGAGGAACCATTTCTATGCCAAACCTTTAACAAGATAAAAAGAAAAATACACACACATGTAAGAAGTCAGCTAAACCTAGAAAAAAGCCTCTCCTTTCTCCAAATGTAGATCACTGCTTTAAGAGATCTGGTAATTCATTACATTGGTATTCTGTGCTTTCTGCCTCATCTGGCAATGGAATATCTTCTGTGTATCATAAAATTAGATTTAGTGGCTAAGAACCGACAGCACGGTTTCCAAATCAGAAATCATGTTATAACCATTTCAAACCAAGTTTGGAATAAGCAAATATAATATCTTCTCAAGACTCTTTAAACCTGAAGTTTTTGAATCAAGTTTCAAAGGTGATGCATTATATAACTGCTTCTTCTAAACACAAAACCAAACTCCTTATCATATTAAAAGACTAACAAGTGAATAGGAAGCATTTATTCTGCCTGCAGCAGTGCAAGCATTTCTTGCAGTCCTGAATACAGGAAGAAATAAGCAACTGTCACGGCACTGTTCAAATCCAGATTGCCTTTCTACATTCTTCCACTTACTAGAACTTGAAAAGCAAATATATTGCTAGTGTCCATATTCAGATATTAAGCAACCATTATGAACTGATCAGAATCTTTTCTGAGCTGCAGACCAGTATTACTTATCTATGGATAGACATCCACAGCAGCAAGCAATCATAAAAATTCTGAAATATTTGTATACACAAAAGACCTTGGCATAGCAAACTACATTCTGAAGTCTTAGTTTTAGGATCACAGAATTCATTTCAGATTTGGAGATAAACAACCCTCCCCCCTCAACACACACATAGAGGCATGGTTAGATCTGAAAGCTACCAACCTTGGTAAACCTTTGCCAAGTTCCTGTTTCTTCTTGGTTACCTGCTGGATGACTTGATCCCAGTTTACATTTCGCCGGGAAGCACTAAGAATCTGCCTGAGAGTGGGTTTCAGCCCTGACTCCTTCTCAGTCTCACTTCTCCGATGGCCACTCACATTCCGAATGCGCCGTGCATTATTGAGATTGGGCTCTGGAAGATGCGTCCCAACTTTGCTCTTCAGACTAATATGCCGTGTCAGGTCTCTTTGCAGAGAGGCAGGGAGGCCAAGTTTGCTTAAATCAGGAAGAAGGAGGCCTAGCGATTGGCTTCCTCCTTTTTGCAGCTCATGATCCGAAGGATTTTCAAAACTTTCCATTTCAAAGTGATCATGTGACTTGACATGCTCTTCATCCACTTCTCCATCCTGTGAGGATGTTTTCAAACCCACATGTGAATGGTCCTGACCACTTGATGGAGAAACTGTGGGTTCCATCTTAAATGTAGAATCTTTTAGATCAGAAGCAATACTTGAAGCAGCTGGCTTTTCATCATCTTCCTTCTCAGAGGTGGCAGGTTTACCTTCTGGAGTGTCATAGGGTAAACAAGAACTAACAGAAGAACCCAACTTTTCACCTCTTGCTTCTGACTTCTCACTTCCTGTTAAATCTTCATCGCTCACATCTTCTAATGAATCTAGTCTGAACTCATTTGGCAATGCTTTTCCAGCTTCTTCCATATTCTGGTCACTTGTAACCTTGCAAGAGTTTAAGGGAACATTTTGCAAGGAAGGGTTGGACTGAACATCTTTGGGGTTTTGTTCTGCTTCACTGAAGTTATTAACAGGCTCTCCAAGATTTCTACCAAGCACATCTTTATTATCTTGTAAGTCATCAGCACATGCACCAGGCAGCTTCGATGAATAAGAGGAGAAACTGTCTGCTTCCAAGTTTGCTGCATTCAAGTGATTCTGCTCTTCGCAATTAGTAGAGGATAACAGAAGCCTGACATTTTTTAAGAGACTGTTTGTGTCCTGCTTTGGGGAAGATAACTTCATATCTGTGATATTCAGAAGAGGGGATTTCAGTGATGGCATCCTATTACTTCTGCCATCATCTCTGTCAGGCTTTTCACCACCAGAACTGTCTTTTGTTACCTTGCAAGAATCAAGGTGATCCGAGGTTGCATTAGAAGGGGAAGATGACTGTTTTGAAAGGCTAACACTGACTTCACAAGTTTTTCCTTTCATTGATGAATCGTTAAGATGCATAAACACAGAATCCATTTTATCTGGAGTTTTAGAAACATTATCTTCAGCACGTGGTTGCTGCTCTGCAGCTTTCTGGGATGGGTAGGGGGTCCAGCGATACATTTTATCTCTGGAAGGACTGACACTTTTTCCACTGGCTCTTGAAGTTTTGCTTTCTGCTTGCGTCAATATAACAAAATCTAATGCCCCCTCATAAGGAAGTTTATCACTGGTAAAGTCAAGCAAGTCAGTCATATTTTTTTGATCTCTGTATGGCAGAACATCAGTGTCTTTCTCCTGTTGCTGCCATGCATATCTTTCCTTATTATATTTGCTTGGCTCTACTGAGTACGTATCTCCCGAGCTTCCAAAGTTCCAGCTATTTGCACCATGAGGACTAGATTTCCAGTTTCCTCCATAACTCTTGGAATTCCAGCTAGAAAAATGACCTGCTCCTTCTGAGTGCCAAGTAGAATTTCTCTCTCTGGGACTGTGATGCCAATTTGATGTTCCTCCTCCCCGCCCTCTTGGATGCCAAACATTTCCTGAATTCCCATAGTTATGCCGATTTGAAGAGCTTCCTGAAACATTTTGGTGCCACCCAGAGCGTCCCCTTGGGCCACCTGAATGTCTGTTTATATTAAGGTTCCTCTGAGAGTGTGAAAATTTGCCTTGTCTAGGACTAATATAATCATTCTTTTCCCACTTCCAATCCCTTTGTGATGCATTATGATGATGCCACGATGACTGATCATAAGCTTCTCTTTCCTTGTAAGCAGTTCTTTCTTCTCGCCTTCTCTGTGGTCTCCTGTCTTCACATTCTAATTCTTGGTTTGCACAGCTTGGTTCGTCTTGCCTACAAAACAATTGAGGAAAACCTAAATACTGATGCCATTCCATTGAAATCCAAGAGCACACAAGCCTCATGCATTTTATTTGCACTGGGAAGAAAATAGAAGTGTGTGTGTATATATATATTTTATAAAAAGAAACAGAGGTAACTTATTTAGCTGCTTTACTGTTCAGGTTTCTGTAGTGTTTGACTTTCAAAACTTATGTTGTACCTTTACTTGAATATGGTATTTCAAAACTGCTCTTACAGGAACAACTGATTTGGTACAGGGACAGTTCAATAGATTAATTCTTAAATAGTTCTGTTTAACTCAGAAGATAATATTCCTTTCTATTTACTAGTTACTGGACTAATAAAAAACAAACAAAAAATAAAGCTTCTTTCTGTTGTATAATCTTTGTAATTTGAATAATCTTGACAGATGAAAAATTAGTGGCAAGGTTCTAACTTGGTCCATAGTTTTTTTCTGAAGACTATTCCATTGGTGTTAAATGGCATAACCAGAGTGAACTGATACAAAAGAGAAGCATAGTTAGGCTGAGAAAAGCAGTTTTTCTACTTCGTGGAGAAAACAACTGAGATTGTGTCTGTTTATAAAGCTAAACTTAAAACACGGATGTAAAACATGCACAGAATTTGTACCTCAGATACAAAAATCCAGTCTACAGCATGCAATGCTGAGTCTGTATGAGCCTCCCTGAAGAACTATCTACCGTCCTTTGGATAGTACTTGTGCTTGGCAACTTACCATGAACACGTGGTAAATTATCACATGTACATTTAAAGATAAATGCTACCTTAACACTGCCAGCTATTCCCAGGGTCAGCAGTCTCAACGCTTTAAGTATTTATTCTATCAAATGAGGGGTTTTTATTAAAAGTCTTTCCAAAAATAGATTACAGAAATGCTTCTTTATGACATTACAGGAATACATTCACTCTAGATCCCTGGACAAGCAAGACAGGAACCTTTCACACTACTGCTCAGAAACAATTCATTTGAGTAAACTGAACATTCATATTGTACCACCATTCAAGTTTTTAACACATTCCAGTTTTGTTAAAAGATGTACAAATAATTATTCTATAATGGGAAATGGTCTACTGCATAAGATTAAGTGAGCTCTAAAACAAGAATTCGAAGAAACTAAGTGATACCGTAATGTTCTAGAAGCTGACTCAACTAGATTATGATCTAATGGAAACAATTTTGCTGTACTAGTAACTTAATCCACGTACTTTCTTTTTTTCCCCACTCTCCAAATCAGCATGTAGCAGAGATTTTCTAAGATTTTTAGTTGCCTCGCTGTTCTGACAGCACTACTGCTTTTTATCATAAAACTAGGAAAAGTGACATTGTTGCTAGCTACATTGACCAATATGAAAAACATGACTATCATGCAGTATGGGGACACCCTCGTATGACAGAATGGTGTCCAAACCAATTAATCTCCACAGATTCATGCACTTGGAGATGCTAATTGAAGTTTCTAGCAACAGCAAGCAAGAGCTTCTTTCAAAGATCGTATGCCCTCTTAATACCACCACCATGCCATATATCTATTCAAACAATATATTCCCAGCTGGAACATCATATTAGCAATGCACATTTGCAGTCACATGGAAGATAAAAGGCAATACTTATTATTCTCTGCAGCCTTCTATTTCATAGCAAGCCACTATAATTATGTTTAGGTAACGGTAAGCAGTAAAATAAAACAGGTTATAAATTTCATTCAAGGATTATGGGATTTCAGTGTGACACTGACTGAACAATCCAATTCTTTTTAAAACTAGGCAGATTAAAATTTCATAACAAAGCATGTTCAGCAGCAGTTTCTAAAAGGCCAGGTTCCTATAGACACCCCCCACCCCAAACAATATTAACAATAATGTCACATTTATTAAGTTAACCCCTTTCAGTTAAATGGGTATCAGATATTAAAATAAAAACATGAGGTCTCTCAAAACAGAAGATTCCACACTGGGGAGTGTTTTTATCCATAATGGAGAACAGTTGTACTTCCTCACTAGTAACAAATCAACAAAAGAACATTTGGCAGAATCATGTTCACATGTTGAAACTACAGTATCTACATAAGTTTCCCGGATTGTTCTCGTAAGTACACTGGCTACAGGCAGTTTATGTTTCACAAGCACCTAAGCCTTAGGAGTGTATCCTAAATGTGTCAAAAGCAATTCTATGACCTAGTAGGAGAAAGGAACACTCACCGGTTCTGTTCTTTCCTTTGCTTGATTAGTTGAATGAGTTCTTTGTCAAGGTATTCTTCTTCTGCCTCTTCTTTCTCTTCCTCTTTTCTGTCATAGGCATCAACATTGTCTTTGTGCAGCTGGCTCGAGATGTGCTTGGCATATGCTGACAAACCCACCAGGGTCACCCTGCACACCCGGCATTCATGGTTGCTGTCCCTAGGAAGAGAGGCAGACGGTGGGCTTTCAACTCTGCCAACAGGCATGGCAGGTATCTCTGGTCTTACTTTGTTTCCTCTGAATGTGCTTGAGTTCAAGGCAATTAGGTTTTGCTCAGTATATTTAAATTACTTGAATTCTCTGGCTTTTTCTTTCAAGGTCTAGTTTTCTGATGGCCAATTTTTAAAAGATTTTTTTCCAACAATCAAGAGGTAAAAGACTTGATAATAAAGCTGTGTTAGCGGGGAGGAGAAATTCTTCTTGAATTGTTGTACTCAAAATCTTTTCAGAGGAAACATAGTGAGCGAGGAGGCAGAATGGAAGGCTTACAGAGCTAGCAGGAGCTGCTCTGAAGCCCATCCATGGTGCCAGCTGCACTGGGGAAGCCTGGTGACAGCTTCTACTTTTAATCCTTGCCATGAGCCTTCCCCCAGTGAAATTTAGAAAAGGGAGGAGGCAGCATATGGATACAGCCAATCCTGATACAACATAACCTAAACTGGGACAGCTGAGACTGCTGCCTGGAATCCAAAGACTCCACAGCACAGTGAGTGACTGGAGGGTGTCTTCAGTTCACTGCACTTTATTTGGTTCAAGTGTGCATGAGGTCTGCTTTCTACTTTAGAGGACTCATCTTAAAAAATACAGACATTATTTTAGCTGGAGAAAGTTGACAGCTGTTTCAGACAAATGGCTTTACTCATGTTTCAGTGACTACTGGATTAAGGTTACAACATTTTTTTTACTTTTTTTTTTTTTTTTTTTTAAGAAATTCAGATTTCTAAAAATACTCAATTTTTTCTCTTGACAAATCCATTCAATACTCCACCATTAAGGAAATATGTTGTTAATAATAAACCTAAACAAAGAAAGTATGTTCACCAGTTAAAAAAAGTCAGAAAAAAAAATGAGTGAGAACGTAGTCCACTGTAAATAACTCATAGGACCAAGTTAGAACTCACTCCCTGCCTCCACAATGCTTTCCTCAAATCTGCCATGTAATTCACAAAAGCACATCTGCATACTTGCAGATGGCATACTTGAGACTGAAGTCTTATAACAGCAGCATTATAACACCAACACACAGTTCACGATTGGGGTCAAAAAAATGGGATCCATAAAGGAAAAAGAAAAGCATGAATCCCTGTTTTTTAAGAGAAAATTTAAAAATAAAATGAGAAGAAGATCAAAAGATGCACCTTCACTCAAGATAGTAAGCCAGCATCCTTATCAGAGTAGTTAACGGAACGTCAGCAACTATGTTTTACTGATGCTGGAAATCTGTGGTTTTCCTATTAACGTACTTGAGATATATAACCAATACAGACACTCAGGCACAGCTGGGGAGGGTTTTATTTTAAATAGACTAATTCATAAAATTTACTGTTCACATTTAATTATTTTGTGTTTTGCAGCCTAGCTGATTTCAGATGAAACATTTGGATAAATTTAATTTACAAAGTCAGAAGCTTACAAATTTAGACTGTATTTTCCAGAGAGGGGTGTGCTTCATTTTGTACACTTCACACTCATGAATAAATATTCAAAGCCCAGATACTATGCATTGTACTTTGGGCTACCTCATTAACCCGATAAAGATAACCAAATACAATCAGTAAATTTTACTAATGCAACTGGAAGAATCCTCTTCACGTTCATAAATGGCACAGCTATGCATTGCTAATAAGAGTTATCTTTAATGTGGGTAATCACACAAGACAAACTGCAAATGGAAAGCTGGCTTCTTGCTGAAAAAGGTGTTCTTTTACATAACGTTCTACTTCGACAGTAAGGACACTTCAACGAGAAACATACCTCAGTGGTACTGATTAGGTTTTAAGAAGAATTCTGATTGTTCCCTAACACCTGTATTTAAACTGTTTCATAAAACTTTCATCATCCTCATTTATAGACTGACTAAATAAATGCAAAGTTTTACTTACTTTGGACAAAGCCAGTGAGTTAGCAGACGGCCTAAAGATAAAGAACTTGTTTCAATCACTTCTAACTTGCAAGTTACTAATTACAAGGCTGCGCCTCTTGTACCAACTGAGAGTCTGGAAAGAAAACTCAAGTGGGTAGTGACTAGACTTTTCTGTACTGCTCTTAGTCTGTACAAACCTACAGAAAAAACAACACTGTTTTTTTCTATATGAGCAACCGCTGTAATTCAATATTAATTGGCTAGGAATTCAGATAGTTACACTTAAGGAAATTTAGATTTCCTTCAGTTTTTTCCTTTCCCTATCCCCATTAATATCAGCCACAACTGGGCACACTCCACAACACACGCTCATCATGTCTATGCATTTCCCTACTACACAGGAACACCACACAATCTTAGTTGTTCAACAAGAAGGCCAAAAGCGGTTTGAAATAAGCATGACAAACGTATCCTCAGTATGAAAACATCCAACGGTTTTATTTACTGGATGTGTACTTCAGATGGCAGACTCAACATCCCTTATACAAGAGCATTATTTCACTTTCAATTTAAAAATCCCAAACCAAACCAACCGAACAAAACAGAAGCGCTAAAGTTCTGTACCTGACATACAACTCTCCTCATATATCACACCGGGTAAGACTTCAAGAAGAGAAGAGCCTTAAAATGTTTCAGAAAATTATTCTACCCTTTGAAATTACTAGATTAGCTTTAAAAGGAGAAAAGCGTGAATCAATGTGTGCATTTCCTCTACCTCTTCCCTACAGGAAGTCTCAAAAGTGACTACTAGATGGATGTTAATTTTAAAGGTAGTAAAATGCCGATACTACACACTTTAACAGTATCATCCTCTGTTACGCAATTCAACCACACTCAAAAGGCTGTTGCTTGTGGTTCACATTTTCTACTTAGAGTACCTTTTCCTTTATAAGGCTGTAAGACTCTTAAGAGACTTCTGCTAAACTTAAATGGGGAGAAAAAGGAGAGCCACAGGGGAAAAGAACAAGGCTGCTGCTGCACAGTGATAAACTAAGTTCATTATTAATTTTGAGAACATGCATCTTCCATGAATTCTTCTGAAAGCAATGAAGACAGTTACTGTAATAATAGAAAACAGAATAATGATGAAACAAATTTAATTTAATTTCAGTCTTACGGAAATGGAAAACCAAGAATTATCACATCACTTGCAAGCCACTGCGGAAACAATATCTAACCTTTAGAAATTACTGTTACCTTCAAGAATCACAAAAAGAAATAAATAAATGCATAAATAAATAAATAAACAAAAACCAAAACAAAAAACAAACAACTCAAACCAAACCAAACAAAAAAACTTAGAAGGCCAGAAATAAGATGCCGAAGTATGTGAAATGTTAAGCTGATCTCAGAACCAGTCAGAAGAAGTCCAGAAGAGAAATGCTCTACAAGTTAGCTGACCAAAAGCCCTAAGTCAGCTTCTAGTGCAGAGAGCCTTCTGGTTTTTGAGCAACCCCTTCCCAGCTATTGAGTAACAGAAGAAATCCTTCTCACGCTCAACAGGACAGATATCAAATAACATGATGTGCGTGATCCCAGGCACATTTTCAGAATGTTCCTAGCTCCCAAGACACAGTTGTGTGGGACACAGCAGAGAAGAAAACATGATTATCTGGGGTTTTGTGGTTTTGTTTTCTTTTCTTTTTGAAGTAGCTGAATTCAGAACAAAAAAACCCCCAAGAAATATAGGGCTGACCAAGGGATGGTAATGGCAAGGGTAAACAAAAAAAGAAGAGGTTGGAGAATGTGAGGAATTCATCATTTTTATGCCATCCATCTTTACCACAAAGCAATTTTTATTTGAAAAAAAATAAATAGCTTCAAAAAAGTTGCTGTCATACACTTTCTCAATGTGACACAAGAACAGCTTTGTTAATCTTGACAATTTGAAGATTTTCTGAATCTCACTAAAACAAATCTAGCTTCAAGAGGGAAAGATTATTTAATTTTCTTTCCAATATGTTTTAATATTTTGACAGTCCACACAACCCCTACCTAAAGTCAGGCTGATGATGAAGATTCTGAAGACAGAAGTTCTTTTCCCAGTTTATTAATCTGCTGTGAAGCCTCAAACAAATTAATCAACTCTTAAATGGAAGTAGAAATTAGACAGAGGTTTATTTACTGACAGTTAATCTGCACGTCAAGGTAAGCAGCATATTTTTACTTACTGTCCTGCAACAAGGCTTTTTTTTTTTTTTATTTTAGAGAGAGAATTTAAGCAGATGTAAGCAGCATACACATATGCTACAGATTTTCTGGAAGTCTTAACCTAAAAACATTTTAAGGTGCAGATTTAGACAAACTAGAGCAATATTTAGCAATTATACACAACACTAGTATAAAATACTATACAGCTGGCTCAAACAAATGTCTTCATCTGTGGCATCTATGTAATATAATCTTGTACTCCAAATGTGAACATATGTCTGCAGCTATATGTATGCTTTGCATATAAAAAGTTACTGAAGAGAAAGAAGTTTCTAATTTCCTCTAGTGTTGAAACATTATAAAACAAAACAGTTTAAGAGTTTCACTAGAATTCAGCCTGGCACAACTGAACTACATCAGCAGTAGTATCTATCATAGTATAGATTAGAACCTTCATTTCACTCAGATTTTCTTTAATACTTAACTCCTTAGAAAAGGGGCCTCAAGCCCTAACCGCTGCTCTCACCTTACACAAAACAGAATAAAAGCTACAGGAACGAAAAGATAGCATGTGAACAGAAGTAGTCTGCAATTTTGTTTCCCTTAGTGCAAGACAGATGTCCTGACCAAATGGATCTCCCACACCTCTAAGAGTTGCAAGAGGATCACTTCTTAGTCCTTTAAAAGGTGTTTAAAAATTATTTTCCATTTACATATGAAGTGTGTGCTGCAAGATGATTAAAAATTAGTCTGTAGATCAAATACTTAAGTGCAGACAATCCGATCTCTCTGGCTACCACAAAATCTGTATGTCCAAAAGCACTTTTAAGTGCACTCTGGTTACAGCCCAATTCCATATTATCAGGATGATATTTGAATATGCCTTAACTCCCCCCTCCTGCTTTCCAAAGGTTGCAAATAAAACCAAGGAAACTAGAAGGAAAACACCACCCTCTATGCTTAGGTCCCTTAACCAAACTGGACCAGGGTGGCAGAAAACAAGACAGTCACTGAAGCAGATGTAGACTTTACATCAATGACACCAGTTTTCTCACAGTGGTTTAAAAAAACAAAACCAAAACCAAACCAAACCAAACAAAAAAAAACCAACCAAACAAACAAACAAAAAAAAACCCAAACAAGCATACAAAAACCCCACAACAATTGTTTCTACATCATTGAAAACTTTTAAAAAGCATTTCTAAAAGGAAAATACCAGTGTTTATAATTCTGCCAAAAGCAGAACCGTAGTTCTTCCAAGATACCAAGAATGAAAGTGGCAAGACCTAGAAGACATGCTATTTAATTTCATTTCACTGCAGTCCAAGAAATACAGGAGAGCTTTCCTCCACATCACTGCTTGCCTCTTGAGCTTTTGACATTAAGAGAGCATGTTCATTGCCAGATTTATCACAAGGCATGCAACTAAGTGATGCATAAAAATAAATTGTGCAATTCAGTTTGCATGGGAAACAGGACATGAGTTCTTCCAGAGTGACACACAAAATGCACACAGAGGGAGGATGCAAGATTGCTATCATTCATACCTTCCCTTCAGGTTTTCAAGCTCTCTGTGGTGAAGCATGCTTCTCATGTGTTCCTCCATCTCCTTCAACATGGGGAAAAAAGTAAAATTGGTCAAACAAAAAGGTGTATCATATTTGAAAAGCTCACTCTTGAGACCCCTCCTGCCTTGCAGGAAGGTGTACTCTACTCCTGTAGGGTTACAGCAGTTGCCATTCCCATTTCTATGACCAAAAAAGCACAAGTAGTCACACTCTCAGGAACTCATATAATGTTACTTTCCTGAAGAAGGACACACAGGAGTCATTAGAATTTAACAGAAGGGGACCACAATTCCAGGAGAAAGACAAACAGGAATGCATGTAGCAAACCTTAGTAAACTGATTGTTGGCAAATTACTGCTGATCATAATTTTTACTAAGTCTCTCTCGAGAATTTCAGTACTTAAACCACAGTTTTCCTGGGGAATGTGAGCTGTCTCTTTGTTATTTGTATTATGACACAACTGTAATTGCATCAACACATACTATTTTACTCTGCTAGATGCACTTCAGAAACGGAGCTGTACATAACATGTCAGTTTGTTGTTTACAGGACCCTTGATCCATGAACTGCAGTGATGTTGTAATTAATTGCTACTGAAAGAAGGCTATTGGAAGAGGAAGAAAGGTCATAATTCAGCAAAAGGAACCAGTTCAAAAGATTTAACTTTCTCTTGGTGTTTGAGCCAAAGTGGTTGGAAATCTTCAAAGAACAGATATTAATCACTATCCTCCTTAGTCCTTGAAATCCCATCTGCAAAGGGAAAGCAACATCTTCAGCCTTGAAACGCTGGGTGAATTTATACACTGGCATCTGCAAGATACCCATTTGCCACGTGGCTAAGCAATAGATGAAGGTCCATTAAGAAACACTCAGTTTCAATGCAGCATATGCAGTACTCAGAAGATACACATCAGACTGACACATAAATGAAAACACATGCTGTGCTGCATAATGCCACATTCTCCTTCCATAAGGAAACACAGATCTCTCAAAAGGAGTAAAAAAATGGTGTACTGCAGTATTTTTAACATATCATGACTTAAAGCCTAACTGAGTTTGAGTGCTTTTCACTTTAGTATCTTTATACAATATAAAAACCTCAGAGCCCTCAATATTTTTAACACAGTGAATCAAGTATGATGCACAGCTCATTTCGAGAAAGATACTGTAAAGCATATGCAAATAAATTATTTCATTTGTGTTAGACCTAGGTCAATATATTCCTGGTAGAGGGAAAAACCCTGATACTTTGCACAATTTTGAAATGAAAGCATTTCTTATACACATTTCATTAGTATCTACCAAGCGATGTAAGGGACTCATTATTTACCTTTTTTGAGTTGTACACAGTGTGACATAATAGGCATTTTCGTTCTCGAACCATGCTTATTACTCTGGAAAGATCTTATCCCATACCTGCAAATAAAAATAATTTGAAAAGAATCAACATTCAGGATTACTTCCTCCCGACCCCCATTAATCTATTTTACTAAGGAAAGTAAAAATAAGTTACTATCAATGAAATCGCTTGTGCTGAGTTTCTTTCAGAGAATACGTACCTCTTGTCTATAGTCAATATTCTTTAAAAAAGATACAGCAGTTTTGAGTAGTCAACTAAACCAGCTATAATAAAAAGTAGCTTTCCCTTCCTTTCATTTTGTTCCTTGTCCTCCAAGACATGACACTCAATCTACAAGCAAACACAGATCTATAGGAACCCTCTCAGCTACTCAAATCAGATTAACAAAACACTTTACAACTAGGATGATGAGAGGGAGATATGGAATTGGGGAAACCAAGCAGGGCAAACTCAGATCTTTATTGTGGTACACAGGGCTGCTCAAGTAAGATATTTAAGGCCCTAAGAAAGTGAAGCAAAGGCCTGTCATGACAAAGACTGTCAGTCTTCGAGGTTTATCAGTCCATTTAGTTGACATAAAATAAAACTTTAAATGATTTAAATTCAGTATTTTTCTCATTAACCTCCATAAGAACTACACACATGCATGTGCTGGAATACTCAATTTAGACAGCATTTAAGTTACATTCTCTAACACCATGCTCTACTTGACCACCTTATGTATTTGAATCATAAATAAAAGCTATGCATTTTCATTAATTATTCCTAACAGCATAAGATTATTCAAAACTTTGCATGAGAATACTAAACACTTTAGCACTGATCTACTTAAGACTTGCATATGCGCAAATGAAAGCTGCAGCAGGCCAAATTAAATACCCTATGTATTTTATCATAATGTTTCATTCATAGGGACAGCAATTAAATTAGAAAGGTACATGGCAGTCTAGGTTATAATACAAAGACGGACATGTCTGCATAAGTAACTGGGTATAATCTTTACCCTTTTCTTTCTCATAAAAGACACTAAGATGTAGAATGATCAAGCATTACAGTAATTTTTTTATTGACTTGGGAAAGGCAGTTCCTCACCCTGAAGTGGAAAGAAATGTATCTTTAGTACTAGGCATTTCTGTGTCTCCACACAAAAAGACAAATCCTTCCAAGCTTTGCTATTTTACATTAGTCAACTTCAGAGCTAACTTAGCTAATAGCATCAAACTTAACCTACAAGATCCTTCTTCAACAGCTCATCTCCACAGCTTACCCTACGAAGTTAATTTTAATTATTTAACACCAACCACCTGTACCAGGGGCAGCAAACCCTCCAAATCTGGTACTGACTGGGGGATATAAGCAAAGTGCAAGAACTGGATTTTTACGAAATCCAGATAACCTAAAGTAGCTCCGACACTCAGTGCTACTGTCCACCTATAAACAAACAAAAATAAGCAAGTAAACCCACACCCACGCTAATTCCAAAACGTGGCTTTCACAAATAACTTCTCCTCTAGATTTGCATGTCCATGTACAGTCAACATACACACCAGCTTCTGTCCAGCTTACAGGGGAAGGAGCTGAGAGTTGCAATAGCCCTTTCACCTTTAGACAACAGAGAAAGTAGTTTCCTCCCTAAAAAAATTCACATCATCATACCAAAACAAACACAATTAAAACACAACAGGAGATTCAATCATCTTCTTATGTTCCCTAACCAGCATTCCTAGGGTGCCGTTCTTGATCTCACTGAAATACCTGACAGTGTTTAAATATGCATTCTCTAGCTTCATCACATGGGCATCTGATGAACTCAAATCATCAGTAAGAGCTATTTATCTTGACAGATCACTCCCAACAAAGGTACAAAATCATTCAGAACTTTGCATCAGCCTAGGTCTTGTAGAGCACGCATACAAATTCATACTATCTCAGTGATGTGCATGCAAAAGCACCTGCCTTCATGGAAAGCCAGAATGCAGAAATACCAGGTTTTGGAACAAATTCTTCTGAAACCACATATAAAGAATATAACTTGGTTTTATGGCATATTTCAGCCGAGACAGCAGTTAAGGAAAGTTTAAGCTAATGAGTAGACACAGAAAATTAGGTATTTCAGCCTCATGATTTTCCAGTAAGTTATTAGGTGAGTATAGGAGCACATCATCAACATACTGTTTATACATAGATCTGTGCAGCTGCAACAGATCTAAGAGAACTATTTATGATTGTACACAAGTGACAAAGGTTTGGATGCCTACCCAATATAGGAGAGCTGTCTTAATGTGATTAATACGAGGTTACTCCTGAAAAGCACGGGTGCATCCATTTCAGACACTTCCTTTTGCATTAAAATGTTCTGTACTCCCCCAACATTCTTCATTAGCACTACTTTGTAGTTCAGTGGAGTAATACCCTACATGTGCTCGAGTTCTTGTTCAAGATTACTCAAGTATTTACAGAATTCATTCTGCACAAGGGTGAAATATCAGCATGGGACTTAAATCAGGAAAAGCAGGCTAGTAAAGTATGGTGACTTGCTGACACCAGTTAGCACGTAACATGAAAAAGCTTTCACAAGTAGAGCTAACATTACACCTGTTTTGGCTAATTAAAACATATAGTAACTATACACGATTACAGGAAGAGTTTTAGGCCAACTGCCCAATCAACTAGGCATTACTTAAGGCAGAGTACTAAAAATACTAATGGAATTCAAATGCTATTGGATGTCACTATGGAAAGTGAAACTTTCACCTTCACAGAAAGAAGCCCTTAGAAGCAAGGACTCAGAAGTAAAGAGATGCTGTAGATGCTACAGGAACTGGGAGAAGACAAACCCATGTTCTATTTCCAGATCACTGCTTGATTTACTGTCTGCAGAGAAATAAGTCACTTCCCTCTATCCTTAGCTTTTTCCCAAATCCTGCTGTAAAACCCACAGCTCACTGTAATGAAGTACTTCAATTTCACTGTAAAAGAACTCTCATGAAGTACTCTGAAAAACATTATAAATTCAAGGTATTCTCTCACTCACTCTGCAACAGCAACAAGAACCAGACAGCTTTTGAGCCATGCAGTCAGTGAAGGCATTTCACCTCATCACCAAACTTTCATACCAAGAAACTTCAGAAACAGAGCTTCTCTTCTTAACAAAAAAAAAAAAAAAAATCCATACTTTAAACACCTAACAACCTTCAAGCTTTTATCAGATTTAACAGTCTGTGGTTTTGAAATCACCAACTTGCTGCATAGCATAGGAAATTACTTCTTATGGGATGTTAATAGCAAAATGAGCTACTCTTTAAAAATAGAGCAAACTGCAAGCAATGATAAAAGTTTTGCCAAAAAGACCCACCACCATATAAAAGATAAACACTTGTCAACAGCAAAATGTAAAGCCTTTGCAGCAAATGAGATGTTATGGTATTTTTCTACTTTGAGGTAATGTAACTGTTCAGTGGGTCATTTTTTATTTGTTTGCTTTAAAGGACAGGGATGCATTTTACAACTATGTGATGTAAATGCAACTTGCCTGTAGTCTGCACCTGCCCACAGCTTGGAACACCACCCAGTTTTAAATAACTTAGGCATGTCTACTACAGAGATTTTGGAGAACACTTCCCGCTAGTAAAAATAGTCTACAAAGAAAATAAGGCATTAGACTACTTCCTGCTACAACATCCATTTGTCCACAGTTATTCAACCTTACCGGATAACATACATTAAAAATGTACGTCAAGGTTAAATCTGCTACAGATCAGTGGCTGAACACTGACTATATAAAGCCACAAGTGCCATGGATTGGGGTGGGCAGCCTGGCATTCCAGCTGCCTAGAAATCCTCAGGAGGCCTCAAAGAGATCAGCAGTGCTGCCCTGTCTAAAGGCCTGCCTGAATGCTGCGTGTCCTACAGACAGCAGTGGAAACTCTACTCTTGACAAGAACGGGAGACTAAAAGTTCGCCGTAGCAGAATGCTCTGCAACAACACGCTCCTCAGCTCCTCACGGGGATGTCATTCCTTTTGCTTTAGTGACTTCTCTCCTGCAGCAACCGATTGCCCACGTCCCCGCTGCGCCGTGGAACAGTAATACAGCTGCCACAGGCACGGGACAGGAGAGGAGAGCAGAGGGGAAAGAAGCAACTCACCACAAAGTGCATTCATGAAATCTTTAGTTGGTTGATGGAAGTGGTGGACACAAGGTCATTTTGACTGGGAGAAAAACCTCTTGCTCAGAAGAATCAGGAATGGAAGTGTATTTAGGCCCTGGAAAGCACTTATACAACCACTGCTAGGCTGGACCATATGTGGTTTGGTTATCAGCACAACCTATTTTGATGATGTTCCAAGAAACCTGGTCTTTTCACAGGAAAACCCAGAGTACCCCATATAAGTCTTTGAGAGCTGTATCCAACCACCTATTGCCATAAATGAATGCTATAAAGCAATAATGATTGCTCATCTATAAAGCCTAGTAATAAAGAGAGATTTTCTTAGGGAAAAATTTTATTACTGTAAAATCACTTCCCTGTATTACACACTGCTCCAAACATCAAAGCCCTGTACCACTGTGAGAATGCTGTACAAAACTAAGTAATTCATCATAACAAAACCGAGGTCTGTACTCAAACTTCATCACCTCGAGCAGAATTTTTGTGGAATATAGCACCAACATTCAAAGACTATCTTTCCTTCCCAGATTCATTGCCCTGAAGGTATCTGAATTCATTATGAATCTCCTTTCTAGATTGTAACTTTTACCAAGCACCTTAACATTACTTCTGGGCATATGTGGGAGGCACTTTAACCTTCCTTCAGAGATGCTGATCTGTGCAACCCAACCCAGTCCACAGACAGAAACTTAAGGACTTACTAAAGTTAAGCCATGACTAACAGCATTATTCTCTAGCACACTATCATGTCTATACAAACTACATTGTAGTCACAGGGCGTTTTTTTATAATGTGGCAAAGGAGGTAACTATATTACAGCCCAGTAATTAAAATACTTGTACCAGAAGCAAGACTTCTGAGGTAAATTCCTCCCTGTTTTCCAATATTTAACTTCATCCTCATGACAGACTGAGGGTATTCTAGCCCCCTCAGCACTGAAGCAGCACTACTGCACAGCAAATGTTATAACTGGGAGGTCAAGTGCTCAACTGCTTTGACACTGAGCCAAAAGGAGAGACGAGTTATTTCACAGATCAATGTTCTTTAAGTTCCTGTTAAAAGCAATGAAGTTGACTCCACTAGCTAGCCTAGAAGACATCTAGCAGAAACTGTTTGCATGCTATCCCATGAGTACAGCTGGCTTTTTACAACATACAGGGGAGGTACACTGGAGATAAGGAGACTATAGAGAAATACCTTAAACAGACCAGCTGACATGGTTTAACCCCAGCCAGTAACTAAGCCCCACACAGCCGCTCGCTCACTCCTCACCCAGTGGGATAGGGGAGAGAATCGGAAAAGTGAGAAAACTCGTGGGTTGAGATAAAGACAATTTAATAGGTAAAGCAAAAGCCCTGCACATAAGCAAAGCAAAACAAGGAATTCATTCACCGCTTCCCATGGGCGGGCAGGTATGCATCCATTGCCAGGACAGCCGTGCTCTGTCACACGTAACAGTTACTGGGGAAGACAAACACCCTAACCCCCAAACATCCCCCTGCTTCCTCCTTCCTCCCCCAGCTGTAAATACTGAGCACGACACCATATGATGTGGGATATCCCGTGGGTCAGTTGGGGTCAGCTGTCCTGGCTGTGTCCTCTCCCAACTCCTTGTGCCCCCCCAGCCACTTGCTGCTGGGGTGGGGTGAGGAGCAGAAAGGGCCTTGGCTCTGTAAGCACTGCTCAGCGATAACAAAAACATCCCTGTGTTATCAACACCCTTTTCAGCACAAATCCAAAACACGGCCCCATACCAGGTACTATGAATAAAATTAACTCTATCCCAGCCAAAACCAGCACACCAGTGCAGGCACAGGAACACCTGGCATGAACAGTGTTTTGACTGATGTCTGTTTTTACTTCAAGTAAATCTAAGAATGGGGTATAGACCAGAAGAATGTATACACCTTAAGTCACAGTCAAGTTGCATCTAATTCCCTGTATATAAGCAATGCTAAGTGTTTCCTAATAGCCCAACCTAAGCTTTCCTTGCTGTCAACTGTGATGATAATTCCTCCCTAGTGAAACTAAATACCTTATTGCTTATGACAGCTTTTTACGCACCAGAAGATTCAGGGATATACACTGTCCCAATTGGAATGGAGAGCCGTTCAGCATCATTGCTGTACACTGTCAGTTAGGACACCTAAAATCCACACACCTGGACAGCTTCTGCTTTCCCCTATATTCCCAGTTTGTTTTAGACACATGCAAACTTTTTTTCTTCAGATATATTCCTCAAACACCATATCTCCAAATTTGCCGTTCCTCTTTCCAAATTACTCACAACACTCCAAGAAACGTCTAAAGCTATCCCGTGAGTACAGCTGGCTTTTTACAATATACACTTACATGTATTTCTATAACATTTAGCTGTCTCTTTTTTTCCTTCCTTGGGTATTTAAGCTCATAATACCCTCCACTGGCATGCATACTACGGCTCCTTCACCAATTAGAAGTTAAGAACAGGGATTCAGAAGCCAAATCAGATTGCTCTATACATCCCACCTATTCCAGATCCACAGAAACAAGTACCTGGCTTTGTCAAAAAGACTCAGATTCCCAAAGGAAGATCTGCATAGACACAGGAAAGCATGCAGGAGAGCACTGAGTCAGTCATTGGGCTTTTTCTATTTATACAGTCACTACAGAGTATGAAGAACCACTGGAGAGTGATTTAAAGGACTCGAACCAGTGTAGTCAGGTCACTCTTCAGTATACAGAGCTTTGGTGCCAAGTAGTTTCAAATTAAGGATCCCAAACATTAAGACAGCAACAGCAGCCATTAATGATTAAGTAATAGGAATACCAGGGTTTGTCTGAATTTTTACATCTCTGGAAAGCAGTTTGTCCCAGGGCTGAATAGTAGCGGCTCGGTCAACTTGGGATCAAAATGGCTGGGACTAGATGAGAAAAATCCCTTACACTGCACAAATATGAAAAACATTTTTATAAAAACAAGTAAGTTATTGGTAATGTACAGTATCCCCTTATTTTCCTACAATCTGCTCGAATCAGACAACATTTCAAATCTTATGACACCATCTGGTGGCAGAGTTCACAGAAGATGATCACCAGATGTAAAAAGAATTTTATCAATTTAAATTGGATTGCAGATATCGTATGAATTTGGTCTTTACAAGATACAGTGGAAAAAAAATCAATGGAAAAATACCTTAATTTTACCTAGATGAAGTTATACACAAGTTTTAATATCTCTGTACACAATTTTGATGTGTACACATAGGACAGTGATTGCTGTTATTCTTCGTGCTGGATATCACAGCCCTGCATAAATTAAGATGCATTGAGACATCTTTTCAAACATGTGACATTTTTGGACATGTGGGCTAGAAGTTACCCAAAGTTTGGTCACAATGACTAAACTGACTCAGGTAAGAGACTAACATAGTTTGCCTAAAACCAATGACTTGTTCTGAATTGAAAGCACTAGAACATAGCACCTATTTAACAAACTCTACAAGCAAAAATCACTCAATCATGGAACATACGTGGTGGTACAATTGCAGTTGCCTTGTACTTCCGGTTCAGTTGAAGCCAAACAAAGACTAAAAAAAAAAAATAATAATACAGTTGCTTTTAACAGAAGAGACTTCAGGATAGGAATCTATTCTCTAAGGTAAGAAGTTACAAAGGCACATTGCACTGACCCTTAGAACCTGCAATGTTCATCCAAATATTGCAAAACTATTAGCCAAATTTTTGGAAGGCTTAACTGTTTTGTTGGGTTTTTTAGGCTAGGATCTATCAGTTCAGCAAAGCAGTCAATTAGTTTAATTGAGGCTTGACTTAAAAGTAGTAAAGAAGAACAGAAATAACCAGCCAAGATATGGAAAATGCAGCCCCATGAACTCATGTTGAAAACAAAGTCAATCAAACCTCAATCCTTTTCTCTCTCAGATGATACCTCATCTGTTCTACAAAACTCTTGAAAGCTGCACTTCAGAAGACATAGGAGGGAAGGGGAAAAGGAAAGTTTCTTAATTGCATGAGACCATTGTTATCAAACCACTATCAATGAAGTACATTGAAGTATAAACTTCAATCATCACTGCCACTTCTATCCAATGTTCATAAACGTAAGTTAAATATCATAAGCAGCCCTGAACAGTTCTTAATAGAATTTTTCATGTGAGCGACCCTCCTTGCAATGGTAAATAATTACCTCATATTTCACTGTACTATTAAGACTTGTTTCATACTACCAGTCCCACTCCATTTAGGTTACCAGACATTTATCCCACATCCCTACACGCTTTCACTACGACACATTTTTAGCTGTGCGTTGTGAGGTCGGTAACCAAGTGACTCTGTACCCGAAGCCACACTCCGACCCGGGAAATGCTTCTGGCAGGTACGAAGGGACACAGCACGGACAGCTACACATCTGAAACAGAGAACCCGCTCTAGCAAAGCGCGTGTTTAACAGGGAAGCTCAGAGACCGCTGCAGCAATACGCGACACTCACAACGCAGAGCAAAGCGTGCGCCCGCCGCAGCCCCCCCTAGGCCGGGCCTGCCCCGCTCCCCCCCGCCACCCCAACCCCGCAGGACTCCCTCCCCCGCTGCCGCCACAGCGCTGCCCCAGCCTCGTTACTCACACAGCGCACCTCTCGCCAGGGCACCCGCCCGGAAACCCATCCCCGCGCCGGGACCGAGCAGACCGGGCCGCCGCCAGCCCCGCCGCCCTCACCGCCCCAGCGCCTCGCCGGCCCCACACGGACCCGCGGTGCGGCGGGGCGGGGCAACCGCGACGCCCGGCCAATGGGACCGCAGGCCGGCGGCCGCGCTGCACGCCGGGAAATGTAGTCCCGGCGGGCAGGGCGGCGCGGCCGGGCTTTAACCGGAGAGCGGCGGCACTCCCCCAGCGATGGCCGCGATAAGCTTTGTTATTAGCTCTAAGTGTAGCGCTGAAAACACACCCGGTGCCGTGTGCTACCGCCGTAGAAAGCGGGCACTGGAGGCCGCCGGCCCCGCAGCGCCCCGGAAGCCTTAGCGCGCCCGGGCTGTGTAGGGAGCCAAAGCCCACGGGGGTCCGAGGGGGAGGGAAGGGAAGCGGAGCCCCCGCTCCGAGGCCGCAGGCGGCGTCCTTGCAAGAGGGACCGGGAGCCGTTCCCCGGGAACGGGATCCGCCGGCGGCAGCCCGGGCAAGGATGGAGTCGGGCGCACACCGGCTGCAGCCGACGTCAAACCCCGCTGTTCCCGCCGCCCTCCCTTTTTTTTTTTTTTTTTTTTTTTTCCCTTTATTTATTTTCCCGCCATGTTGGGAGTGGCGCGCGGCACCGCCCCCGACAGGCGGTGCCGGCTCCCGCTTCCGGGGCGTGGGCCGTGACGCGCCCCGCGGGTCCGCGCGCGGCGCCGGCGGCGGGCGGGACAGGGGCTCTTAAAGGGGCGGCGTGTCGCGGCGCGACGGAGCGGCGGCGGCGCCGGTAAGTAGACGGGGACCTGGCGATGGCGGGCTCACCGCGCTCCGGGCGGGGCAGCCGGAGGGCGGGCCCGGGCTGTGGCCGTCGCCCTGCCGCGGAACGCTCGGGGCGGTGGCGGTAGCTTCGGTCGGACGCGCCCGGGCGCGCGGGCCCAGCGGGGGCCGCGGGTCTGCGGGGAGGAACGGGGCGGCCGGGACTCGGCCCGCTGCGAGTCCGGGCGGCCCGGGAGGGCGCTCCGAGCCCCCGCCGCGGCCCCGGCCTGTCCCCTCGGGTGCGGGGAGGCCTCGCCCGGCCCGGCGAGGGGCGTCAGCGCCGCTTCCGGGCGGGTTCTGCCTCCCCTGGGGAGGGCGCTGGGATGGAGCTGCTGGCGGCGACAGGAGAAAGCTCTCCTCTTGCTTCAGCTTGTTCTGCTGCCTTCAGACTAATCGGCGAGATGACGTTGTGGTACGGAGTAAGCAGTAAGCGTCAAAAGTAACCCGTGCTTTTGTGCTTCTCTTAATTGTACGTCTTGCTGCCCTCGGCATTTCTGGGAAGCTAATAAAGTGTTAGCTTTATTTTTCACTTTTTCTTTTTCACTTTTTCACTTTCATTTTTGCTTCACGCAACACAAGCTATCAAATGAACGCATAGGATTTGACAACTGAAGTAAAGGAGTTACAGAAACTTTGGAAATTTATTTATGCAACTCCTTCAGCTCTTTACCTTCCTCTTTTTCACTCACGTGGGCAGCAGATGCTCAGTGTTCAGAACTAAGCATCTGGGTGTTGCTTTACTTCTCCCTCATAACCACACCTGAATCCGTGTTGGAGACAACAGCTGGGTAGGAAGGTGTTTAGTGAAGAGAAGCCAGTGATGTCAATTGCTTGATTCACAGACATGAGCAATTAATTGCTTACTGACAGTCTAGTAAGCAGTCTATATGCCTGACCTCCCCTGCTCTACAGCTGTTGAAGTAGCTTGCTATATTGCAGAGTTTGTGCAATTTGAAGAAATGGGATCTGTTACTGTCTGTATGTGGCTGTAGGGTTGACTGTTAATTTGTGTCGGCTACTAACTAATTTGGAATAGGTATCACGAGGCTTTTATCCAGGGATAAAAATGAATTGTTGAGACGAGTATATAACAAAACACACTGCACAGAGGAGGTGGCGTTGCTAGCACCTATTCTTTGTGTTATCGCCTCTGTGCAGTGTGTTCAGGAAACTGATAAGAGAAAGCAGGAAGCGTGCGGAGTAGTGCCCTGTTCTTGGGCCCTGGCCTCTTCCCCTAAGGTCACAGATGCTTTATTCATTTATCTTGTAGGCATAATCATATGGAGGAGTATATTCTGGTACTGGTACCTTACACCACTCTGCATTAGCTGGGCTGAATTTTAGCTAACTAAGAAGTAGGGTAACTGTTTGTGCTAAGGAAGGGTTTTTAAACAACTTTTTATACATTAGTGATATGAGAAATTTGAAGGAATAAAAAAAAACAAACCCTCAATATAAAGCCTTCTAATTTGTAAACTGTTGAATTTTAATCTTTGCAAGAATGCACCGGTATTTATAATTAATGTTCACGTTTTTCTAAGAATATAGTTTCATTAATTTTTCCATCTTTTGCGAAAGGCAACAGTTCACTCTGGTACTGAAGGGAATGAGAGAGCATCCATAATCACCTGAGGCTGTACCGATTTGCTGATGGCTAAAAGTATAGCTTGTGAGATACTGGCCTTCAGTCAGATGCTGCAACAGCAGGGTTATGTCATCTCCTAGTTCCTACCCTTGTGGTAAGATTACCGACAAGGATGCATAGGCTGCATTTCTCAATCGTACTTCTAGGTGTACTGGTTAGTAGCTATTTAAAATTTCTTTGCTGGTATGTATATGTAATGTCCAAGGAAAAAACTCGTGAACAGGTGATTGTAGGATTGTAAGGTTTAATACTTTATTATACTTACTAGTGGATTATATTAAAAGGATGAAATACATGTATTACTTCCTGATTTATCAGAAATGGAGAGGTAGTCAAATATAGTTATTTGGAAAGAAGAAGGGCAGGATTCTTTTGTATCATGACTTTATAAGAATGAGTACCTTGGACATACATACAGGAAAGTTTTCTACTGAACTCTGCTACATTTAGTACTAGACTGCCAAAAACTTTCACTGGATTTTGAAGAGGAAAACAATATGAGGACCTAAGCATGGAGTCTTGCTAGAACACTTGGTAGGAGTTGTGTGGTTTTTATTCACAGCTTGGAAATAGCTCTTCTGAGAGAGAGAAATAAATTATTCTAGAAGGCAAACTTAAGATTTACATTTTTTGCATTAAAAAGAGAATCGTATACCAACTTCCAGGTCTCACAACTGTTTTCTTCCACGGCCAAAAGTATTACGCTGGTTTATTCTTCTTTCACTTCATTTCATACTCCTAAGAAAATTACTTATTTTGCATTTATGGAACCAGCCTGCTGTGTGTTATTGATGTTATCAAAATATCTTTAGCAGAAAAAAAGGAAATGTTTGTGCTTATCTTCCAGTTTAAAGTTATCATTGAAGGAGGAAGAAAAGTTTGTGATATTCATTAGAAGCATAACTTGATAGAGAAGGGGCTAGGTTCAAATGGAGGACCCTCAGATGGTAAGGAATTAATTTATGATATTTAGCAGATGTGATGGATATATGACAAATTACTGGAAGTCATTCAGTCTGTTAGAGGCATGAAACTGCTGCATGTCAGCCAGAGATGCAGGACAAAAATCTTACGATTATTCAAGGTGGGTTTGTGAAAGTGTAAGCAATCAGAACAATTTATTGATCTGGTGCAAGTAGACCTTCCTGGTTTAAGAAGACTTGTCACTTTTGACAGCCTGTCCCTGCCCACACCCCTTTCCAGATGTAGACTGTGTAATTGCAGTTGAGCAAGCACTTGTTTAGGCCTTGTAGTACCCTGCAGTTGGTTTAAATTCACAAAGATCAGTAAGACAAAAAATTCATATGGGTTTTGAGTGCTTAGGATAGCACAGCCTGAATATGCCATGAATATCATAAAACAAGTAAATTTTCTTTTTTTTGTAGGGCTAATAAGCCTTAGAATTGCTTCTCGGCTAATGCTGAAGAAAACCATGTTCAAACGGCATGTAAATGGCCTACTGTAGATTTCATTGCCTTGGAAGTGTTTTATAAGCCTCAGAAGATTACTGGGATTGAAAAACCCATGAAAAGACTATGCAACCCCACAGTTACAATGGCTTTTGAAACTTGTTTACATTGGAAACTGAGTGCTGGCACAAATAGCTGGCATCCAGTTTACAAATAATTCTGAATGAAAAAGAAAACACATGTAAGAAAAATCTTCAGTGGTGCAGAGGAGTATCTTCGACTGATGACAGAGACAACCAAGAAAGATTTCATGTTCATTTTTTTTTTACTCTGTGCTCTGGGAAGGAGGATGGCAAAGATGATTATGTTGTTTCTGGCTGCTTAAAATAGTACTTTGATCAGGGGGCTCTCTCCATTCAAATGTCATCTTTTTTTCCCTGAAGGTTTTTACTGTCCCCGTTGTCAGGGAATCCTAGTCAGAGAGCTGCTGTTGGAGAAAATAAGACTTAGTTTTCTGATCACAAGCAGATAATTTAAACTTGGAGACGTAGACATGCAGACAGTAGGCCACTGTGGGTATTACTGATTGAATTTGCTCCTATTGCACTCAATCTTATGGAAGTTATGGCTTGGCAGGTGTTAGCTCTCAATTCAGTAGCTGAGATTGGGGCAGAAGGCTGATTAAATACTCATGACTGATCCACCTGAGATTTGGTAATGTGAGCAGCACTTCCCCTAAGTGAATACTTGCACTATAGTCTCACAGGGTCATCCTACTGCTAATATAGACATGGCCATAGCTCACACCAATCTGTGTCACCTTCCAGTTTTTTGAAGTTAGACAAAGAATCTACTAAAAAGCTTCAGCTGCTATATGTGTGTGTTGATTAACCAAATTAAAATCTCTGAGCCACTGGTGCTTTGAATGGGTCTGGCACCAATGCTAAAATCAGCCCAAAAGAGCCTGTTATGTCCCTCATTCTGTTGCAGGAAATACCTTAAGGTTTTAAACAGTTTTGTAAAATCACTTTTTTTGTCTTTTCCTCAGCCTTCTCCAACCTAACAGCCTCACGCAGGAGAGTGAAGTGCAGGTTTTTCAGGGGCTTTGGAGCCATGACTAAATGCATAATAAGTGGAAAAAAGTCTGTGGAGACATAAATTTATTTCCCTTACCTCATTGCTCCTCTTGTCCAGGGGAAAGAGGTAACTTATGTCTAATCCATCCTCACCTGGCTTGGCCCATAATATCCTAATTCTAATGTGCATCATAATAGTGAGTTTATAGGGTGTTTTAGCACAATATGAATAGTCATGTGAAGAGATTACATCTTGTCAGAATTGAAGTTTCAAAGAACTTTTTCTGCCCCCACAATCTTCAAAATAAAACATGGCAGAGAAGACAGATTCTTATGATTTTCAGGACCTGCATTTGTTTCCTTGCTGTTCTTGTTTCTCAATGATTCTTCCTTTTCATAAGGCAGCAATAGTTATGATGATTGTGTTGTAGTTTTCTAAGTTTCCTGGTAGAAAAGTTTCATGAGGCCCGCTACTTCAATAAACTGTGTTTATTTAGCAAGCTTAGTTCTGCTTTGCCTGTAGGTGCTGGGTTTTCCTATGCAATGGGTAGAGGGGGACACTGAAATGTGTTTATTCCTTGCGGTCTGGTAGCTGAGTAAATAGTCAAGAGTACTTTTTGTTATCAAACAGTAAATACAGCTGATGTTACATCCTTTTTTTAAAGGAGTTCTACTTTATTTAGGCACATTAGTTTCTTGCTTAAAACTTACCACTCTAGAGAGAAAAAACTAAACCAGCAGAATGTCATTGTAGTATAATTATGAAGTCTCTTTGTAGGCTGTCTTTTTTTCTTTGTTTACTCTGTGGCTAGGATTTTAAAAATGGTAGGAGAGAGAAAGCAGAGAAAATAAGCACTGAACATTGATATTAAAATAAATGCTTGCCTTGTCAAATCTTACATTATAACAATAATACCAGGACCACTTTAACCATATCAGGTATTTTCTCCCTGAATATTTTGTCTTTATTGGGGAATCTTTGTCTTGGCTGTAAAACCATTTTGTCCTACACTATTAACTTAAGAGCTGGTTGCCTCAGTGGATGCTTTATGATTCCTAGGCAGGAAGGTAGGGGAATGAGTATCCTTTTTTATGTATGTACACAGTGTTCTACTGGAATAGCTCAGCTGTTACTTCAGTACAAATGGCCTCATCTTGAGTGTTTTAACTCATCCTGTAGAGATATCTTACAATAAAGGCACCTGCTATGTTCATGCTGTTCCAGTTACATGTAGCTATCAAGAGTGCATCTCCATCTTTGGAAACAGGCTTTTTTGGAAATGTTTGGTTTCTTCTCAATTACTGATTTATTCAGTGTTAGGTCAATTCATAAACAGTTTCAAGACCAAATACCATCAATTGAGGGGGAAAGTGGGAGGAATGCTGTGGGTTCCAATAGAGTTTCTTGCTGTCTGGTAGCAGAGTTGTTCAGGAAACTGAGCAAGATGGGGGAGCTCAAAGCTTATATGTCAGCTGAAGTGTTACCTTCCAAACTGTAGCATCAAGATTTACTAGCTTGGGAGTTGGAAGTGTTGACTGTTGTCTCCTTCCTTTGCCTTTTGCAGCCTTACTGCTGTTTTGTTTTTCAGTGGCTTCTCTGTGAACTTCTGGTTCTAGTAGCACAGGATAATATTCTGGCAGTCTTGAATAAAACACAGAACTCAGTATCTGGTCTGATAAAGTATACATTCTTCAGATTTTTTTTTGCGTTTTTGGTATGAAGGTAGTGTAATGTATTTACAAACATCTGTTCAAAGATAAGAGTCTTATTACCCATTAAAGGCTTACTTGATAAACCAATTCTTCTTATGCATGTTTGAGAATGTTATTGTCATGCCTTTGCCTCAAAGGCAAAGAAACTGTTACTGTATTGTGTAGTGTTGGCTGTGGTATGGCTCTTGGCTAACTCAAATCCAGCCTCTGAGCTAGGGTGGTGTCACAGGGCCTGCTGTGTGCTTATGCTGGTGTGCAAACTCCTGGGCTGCCTGAACCCACGGCTGCGAAAGGTAGTAGGACACCGGGGCTGCTGAAAAATAAATCTCCGGGTCACTCTGGGAAGACAGGGACATTTCTGGCCCTGTTCTTCAATTACAGGGGGCTTATTGGGAAGCTGCTGTGTTCACAGGGTAGGGATATGACATCCCTTTTGCTGTCCAAGGTGAGATGTGTTTTATGGCTCCAAGTTGCAGAAGTACCTGAGTGTGTGGCACCCAAAGTAGGGAAAGGCTGGCCAAGTCTGCAACAATTACAGTAATCCAGATATTGCTTGTTTGGTGCAGCTGTGAATTGAAACTTCATCCTGTTTCTGAATATCAAGTAGATGTGAGATCTTCACCCAAAGAACCTGTTGATCTCATTTTCCTGTGCTTAATCTAATTCAGTGAAAATGGGTCCGTCCTTCCCTGTCCCTGCTTTACCAGTCCTTAGCTGTGCAAACGAGCTTGAAGGGCTTCCCAAATTGAAAGATGGGACTGAGCTGCCTTAATTAAACTTCATGAAACGAGCTTAAACCCATGAAGAAAAAGTCACTGATTGTATAGTGAAATAGGACTACTGCAAGCTGAGCTGTTAGAGGCCTTGTGTGAGAATGTCTGACTTTTTACTGATGGCAAAGAATAACTTGTGTTGACAGCCACTTAGAAAAACCTCTTAGAGCCTTAGTCTTAGGCTGAGGAGGTATGTTAGGTGCTAAAAACCAGACCTGCTGAGGTGTTCTCTAATGGTAAAGTACTTAAACTGTAAGGGATTAGGTGTCTTGATTTGGGTTCACCGTCAGAGGTACGCGTGCTTCCTGCAAAGAGCTGGGAACGGTGTCTGTTCAGGGAGCAGTTACTAATGTTATGTCTTCCAAAACAAAGATCTTGTAGGGAAAAATGAGACATAGTTCTGTTAGTCAAGCAGGATGTTTGGAGGAATCTCAGTGGATAATGTGAACTTAATTGGAAGCTACTCACATGAAAGAGCAAGGATTAATCTAAAGGGGAGAATTCATATTTAAAAGTCCTCTTATTGCTCAACTTGTCTCATTAAATTCTTGTATAGCCTGGGAGCTCTGTTTCACCACTGCTAGGAGTGCTGGCTTTATTACTGCTCTTCCAACAAGATTCTTATCTCTGAAAAACTTGGATCTGATAAGAATACATTTATTGATGGGCTTGCTTTTTTCTCTTGCTTCTTCAGTCAAAAATATATCTCCTGTTTATAGCAGAAGTTAAATTATGGTGTGTTGGAACTTCGGATATGAAAATGTTGATCCTGTCTTTATTATGAGAAAGGAACCTTTACTAGAGCTGCAAACATACCATTAAAAACTTGAAGAATCTCTTGCATTTGAGGGATGCATGATACCATAAGAATGACTATTATGCTACTGGAATAATTTTAGCTGGTGCTTGATCTGTGAAAGTGTTTCCCCTTCTTCTGATGGTCTGTTGAATACCCTCAAAGGGGAAGAGCACTTGAAGTTTATGCTAGGAATTTAAATGCCTTAATTTCTTTCTGAATTACTGGGGAAATCAATGTGCTTTTCCAATATGGAGAAGCTTTTTATTTTAAGACTTCACTTCCTGATTTTTACCTTAGACTAACAATGGGTAGAATTCTCAAAAAATGTTTAGGAAGCCAAGTCTTGGAAAGGAAACTATTTCATGTACTGATTGTTCCTGCATTTATCTTAACTCCTTAGTTATGTGATACTAGCTGAATAATTATTTTAGTGCTTTGTAGTCCTAACCAGGTATATTAAGCAGAATGATATGTTTAGGCTTTAATTCTTTGACCTGTCTTCTAGTTTCAACTCAAAATACTGATAAAAGGATAATTCTGATGCTTGACTGGTATCTCTTATTACAGGGGGGGAAGATTATCTTTAACGTGATTACTTGCAAGTAATAGTTCTTCATCATGGCTGAACTATCTCATGAAGAAATTCAGCTGAGGGCCAACCAGGTCACTGATGAGGTAAATATAGGAAGCCATCTGGGTTTGCAATATTTATCTGCCAAGATTACAATATCTTTAAAAAATAAAGTCAGTCTAGGGTAGGGATTCTGCAAGGGTATAGCTGGATGTTTCAAACTCTCACTTTACTTGGTAGATACTGGAGTGAAGACTACCCCTAAAAGTAAGAATGAATTGAAACTTCTGAATTGTAAAGCCACCTATTTGACTGAGTACTGATCACCCAGTCATGATTATTGAGACAGTGTAGGCTGGGTACCTACACTGTTCTTAGTCATGTTGATACTTCATGACTTTTTATTTAACTAAAATTCATTTGAACATTTTTTTCTTTTATAATGACTTTCCAATGGGATAAGCAATGTACCAGCAACTACTAAAAATCAAGGGTTCACTAGCTATTGAAAAAACTCTAGTATGCTGCCACTATGACTGTTGTGTGTATTACATATAGACAGGCTGATGAATTTTTGTATACTAGTTGCCTTACTGTAATGAACTGGTAAAGATGACTTTCAGACACTGATGTATACTTACTGTTAGCATACTCATTTTAAAATTCTTTTTCTAGTCTTTGGAAAGCACAAGGAGGATTCTTGGCTTGGCCATTGAGGTAAGGAAAAGCTTTAAAATTCCCTGGTTGTTTTTTAATTTAAGAAACATCATGTTAACTATCACAAAGTGACCTTAATCACTTTTTTTGTCTTCCTCAAAGTTTTTTTTTTTGAGACACACTTCATTATTAGAGGTTGCTGTTTTAATTCAGTAGTAGAGTTGTGAAAAATATTGTCGTTCCATTATGTAAACTCAGATCACAGAAGGATCGGCGTCCTTTTTACCTGTTCTCCTCTTAAGCAAAATAGCCTAATCTCCGAATGCTACAGAACAGTTATAAAAAGTCTTCTGTGATGATCAGTTATGGCTTTAGCTGCTTCATCACTTCTCATAAAATCTTTCATTTGTCTTTTAGCTCACTTTGCTGGTGGACAGTGTGAAAATGTCTTGCTTTGAGGAGGAGGGTAGAGCTCAGTTGGGTGGGGTAGTAGAGGGTAGGGCTGCTTTTGGTTCTAAACAAAAGTAGTTCTACATACCTTACGATCTGTACATCAGTTTTAACTTTAAAGATAGTTAAGTATGATGATGAAACTCTTAACACCCTTGTACGTGACTTGGAACAAATCCGTGTTTCAGGTTTATCTAGATGACATTGTGTGAGGCATCTGTTCCTCTACACTGTTATGGCTTGGATACCCCATTGTAAAAATGACTGAAAGCTTACTTCTGTTATTTCAAAAAATATAGAGCATCCTGTTGGTAGGGAGTAAGATAAGATCAGATGGCTGATAGTCAGATCTGGTAGACTTAAAGCTTAACTGGTTCAGCAAGACAATTTTTCTGGTACTTGGATATGCTGAAGAGAAATGGGAATTCAGTAGACTAAGCAGTAATGCCTTTCAAAGCTAATGCCCAGACTTCTAGTGCTGAAGACTTGAGACAATGTATTGTCAGTATGAGAACACTAAAAAAATAATCCAATAAATAAGGACCCTGAAGTGTTTAGTTTCTACTGCTTCAGAGCCTGTACTCACTGCCCATATAGTAGCAGGCTGCTGTGGAACTGAAGATGCTGCTGTTATTATTGAGGCATTCGAATCATTATAGCCTAATGAATACCTCTCAAACACAAACATTAAGAACATTTAATGAGGTGACATGATTTCTCCTGGTATCATAGTTCGGTGGTTCATAGAAGTGAAAATAACTACTACCATAGACAGTTCTGTGCTGGCAGTTTACAGTAAATCATGAGTGCAACTTGCATGCTAGATTCAAGACTTTGAGCCAGCAAAGAGCTATGTTGTGGTATATTCCTCACTGCTGATTTCTTTTATTTGGTTCTAAAACTAGTGATGGGCTATTTGCTTCCTGAGATCTGCTGAATTCTCAGTAATGGTTTTGCAGGATGTGTTTTGCTTTCTTTTATTCTAGCTTCCAAGACTAAAGGCCTTGTCAGCCCTATTGAAGGGTGTAAGGAGAAAGAATTAACTAAAAGCTGCTTTTCAAAACAAGGCACAGTTAGGTTTCCTTTTATTAGCTTGGCATTGTCATCATTCAATCTGAGTCTTGCAGTAAACTTTATCACCTTGTTGTAAAGTAAAAAAAAAAAACCACCTCACAAAATCAACTGACTGAGGTAGTGTAACAGGTTAGATAATTATCAGCGTGACACAGGACCTAATTTGAAACTTAGCCCAGCTTTACTACATAAGTTCTTCCTAGCACAGTGTTTTGTTATGAACTTGGCTGGCTTATTAAATTCACCATAGAGACCTTGTGATTCTGGTTTTATATCTGCAAATAAATTTCTTTTTGTAGTCGCAGGATGTTGGCATCAAAACTATCACCATGCTGGATGAACAGGGAGGTGAGTTCTTTTTTTTTTTCCACTCTAACACTAAAAATTCATTTTATGTCTGTAAGGAAAAGGATTATCATTCAAGAGTTGTTGCTGAAACTAAAGGTTAATCAAAGACTACATATGTGAAAATAAGATTTAATAATCTGTTAATCCCATGTGTTTGTAGTACTTAAAAGAGGTTTTAGAGTAGTTGAGACCATGTTGTTTACAACGTAATACAGCTCTGCTACAGAAGCCCTTGCTTTCTACCACAGCATGTATGTAACTGTCCACATTTATTCTAAAAGCAGCAACTGCAGTGCTGCCCTAAGGATAGGGAAAATATTTTAAATGTAGTAAACAAAACTTATCACTTAACCTTTCTTAATAAAAAAAAAAAAAGAAATTTAAAATCCCAGAAGGCAGTAAAGAAAAAAGGCATTAGTCTTGGTGTAAAGATAGAAATGAAACTTTTAAGTTCCTGCTTGAAAGAAATGTTAATATCCTACCCCCACCTTTCACTGATCCATGTTTATTCAGGTCACTTGTTTCTCTCCTAGAACAACTAAATCGCATAGAAGAAGGCATGGACCAGATAAATAAGGATATGAGAGAAGCTGAGAAGACTCTGACAGAGCTCAACAAATGTTGCGGTCTCTGTGTCTGTCCTTGTAACAGGTCAGTTAAATTGATACTTGGGTCTGAAGTTCTAGAATATTCCCAATAACTACTCTACTGGGAGATGATCTCTCATAAAAGAGCTAATTAAAAAATGCTGAATCTCAAAGGAAGTCGACTGGTTTGGTTTGTAGTGGTGCATCCTTTTGAAATTGTATGAGAGTAGCTAAAACTTGCTTGCACCTAACCATACATTGTGCCCCTTTCAGTGTACGTATAGCTGCTGTATAACATCACACACAATTGCGCCCTAATCTCCTTAAAGCTTGTATTTAGTAGAATGTTACCAAAGTCCATACACAAGACCAGACTGGACTGCGAATAGCTATAGATAAGTGCCTGTCTGTTAGAAACTTGATTAAAAAATATTTTTTTCACAAAAGTAGTTTTGTATTAACTTAAAAAGCAAGAAAACCTCCTTTGTGGAGGATGAAAGTAATACTAGTTCTCTAGGCACTTAAAAAATATTCATGCATTAGGGAAGAATAGTGTAGGAGAACAGAGTTTGGTGTCAAAACTTTAATATTTCGCTAGTGATTACATAAATTCTTGCAGATGTGCTTCACAGTCTCTTTGTAACATGAGTGTTATGGCTACCATATCCAAGCCAGTTAAGAGCAACCTGATATTTTGTATGGTGCTTGATTTGTACTTCTAAGTAGCCTAAACAATGATCAGAAATCAGTATTATAAGGAAAACACTATTTATTTATTTGGAGGTGTGCTAGCTTTTTCATTAAAGCAGCACATTATCAAATTGATTTGTATGAATTGGATGTGATTATAGTTCTTCCAAGTGAAGGAAAAATAAGTTATTTTAAGAGTGTGACCACTGAAGTGAACAGTGTGTGTGTGTTTGTTCATTTTTAGCTCTTTAGCATGAGCAAAAAAACACAAATCTCATCATTCAACTGAGAGGTAGCAGAAATTTAGGTGAAATTTCCTTGGAGTAGTGAAGTCTGCTTATCCAACAGAATAATACTTGGAGGGTTGGTTAGGACAGATATTAATGTGGCTTCTAAGGCTGATGGTCTTAAAGCTCTAGTACCTTAAAAAGGCAGATAGTTCTGTGCTGCCCTCTGGATAGAGTCTTTATGATTATGGCTTTATATTAGTGTTGTCAAGCTGATGAACTCTTGAGTATTTTGACACACTCAGTCTTTGTTCGCTGAAGCTAAGCAGCTTACTGACACTGAGCAAGCTCAGAATTTACCAATTCTTATGGCACTCCAAATACCCAGATAACAATAAAAAGTAATGAGCTGTGTACCAAAATGGGCAGTAATGTGCAGAAAAATTTACTAGATAAGCAGAGGGCAATGAAGAAGTAGAAACTGTGAATGCCTTTCAAATATCCAATGGCACATCAGTTTTTCTGTCAATGTCAGAGTTATTTGTCAACCAGTTATTTCCAAAGCTTTTCATTTTGTGCATAGTTACATCAGAATACTTGCAGAATTAAATATTGATTTTTCTCCTTTCTCCTAGGTTTAGATTATTTATAGAAGTTTTGTGAAAACACAGAGTACTGTCAGTACACTAATAATCTATGTTCTAATAACAATTTAACCATTTGCTGGTCTTTACTATTCTTTCTTCATTCTCTCCTAACACTGACGCTTGCTTTCTAAAAATGAAGACTAAGATAAGAAGCTGTATTCACTTAACTGGTGAAAGCGGATTTTTAGGACAAGGTCAGTCTTATTAGTGCAGATGTACATTTAACCAGCTGTCTGAAGTGATGTTTCTATTGGATTTGTGCTTGCATGTGCTTGATGTCTGCATGCAGGCCTCCTTGTGACTGTGATGTATTGTAAGACTTATGTGAATAGAAAATGTCAATTGCTATCAAGTGTATTAGCTGTGGAAATGTTGAACTGTTTGTTTGAGCTGTTACTGGTTTGACAGGTAGTATAAATTCCCTTACTCGTACAGAAATGGAACTTGAGAAAAGTGAATGTATAGTAATTTGAAAAACAGCTCTTAAAAAAAAACAAAACACAGGTGCTGAGAAACTTTGTTCTTAACTGTGCTTAGTTTGAGCAATAAATCTGTTTCTATCTGTCTGCTTCAGATGTGTAGGTAGCTTTCAGGCCACTTGTTTTTGTGTGCAGTAAGTTCATCACAGTTACCTCTGGCACCTAAGACTTGGCTAATTCAGAAGCAAAGCTTACAGATCTTCCCTGCTGTTTTGCCTTTAGCATGAATGAGAATGAAATATCATGCTTAATCTAGTTGCAGTAAACATAAAGATGTTTTTAACCTGTTTGTATGCACAAAGACCTAGAATTGAATAGGTTAGGTTTCTTTAGAGTTCTGCTGGGTGCAACAGTTCTGTTGTGAACTCAGAAATTATTCCATTTCTGCCTCTTGATGTAGTCATAGTAGGCGACTTCTCAGAGGGTCTGACCTATGAAATGCCATTTCCCATTTCAATTACATAAATGCCAGAAGAATGAGGAATACTTCATTACAGTTAATTTCACACCTCCTCAAAAGTGCAACATCTGAGATCCTGCAAGGCACTATAGACATAGAAATTGATTACCTGTAATTGTAAAGTTGGATATACTGAAAGACACTACAGATTCCCCTTCAGATTTATAAAGAAGCAGAAGAGTAGGAGTGCTGTCGGGATTATCTAGCTCAAATCTGAAAATGCCAGCGAATAAGGTGAACATGAGAATATTCTCCTCAAATACGTTCTTTAGGATTCATGAAAACTGACCCCAATTTAGATTAGTTATTTTTCTGTTATAGTCCCCTCTTGTTTTTATGGGTCTGTGATTTGTGAGATTGTTTCATGTCCGTATGCTTTACTTATTTTTTCCTCTTCTGAATCATGTAGTAGAAGTTAAATGGTAAATTAGTTTGTCACTTTAATGGAATTAGTACAATTGAATTGCAGAATGAAGGAGTTATTTAAACATGATTACTGTTATTTCATAATCAAAATTAACCTGAGAAACATTTTAAAAAAGAAAGGTGGGGCAACAGAAAATGTTTGACAAAAAACAGTAAAGATTAATGGTTTTATTGGATAGTGTAGCTGTTTGTATTTGAGGAAATGTTTTCCTTCCTTCCCATTTCTTCCCTGAAAAGTAACTCATCCTGATTCTAGAATAACTCCTGTTGTAAATGCAACTTGTATCTTGTAACAATGTAACCTTTCCTGTTACTGTCATAAGCTTCCCTTCTGGTAAATTATATTACCTTAAGGAAATTACTGTGCTTGTATTAAATATTAAAACCAAATTAGTCACTGCCCCTAGAGTAACTCAGTCATGTTTGTACTATCCCAATATAAGAAATTTTATTGTATAGACAAAGCTTTGTATATATAAAATCTAATCTCAGGTGCTAGACAAATGTTTGAAAATCCTAGATTAATACTTAACTTCAGTCAGGAAGCCATATTTCTGATGCAGCAGTTCAGATTTCTTATTTTTATGGAGTAGGACGAAGAACTTTGAGGCTAGCAAGGCATACAGAGCAACCTGGGGAGATGGAACGGAGAACTCGGCAGATCACGTGATTTCCATGCAACCAAGAAGCTTAAATCAGCAGCAGCCTCAGACTTCTGGAGGACCAAGTGGCAGATATATTACCAGGTTTGCTGCTTCATATTTCTCAGTCTCACGTGCTAAGTTACCAGTTGTCAGCTTCTTTCAGATGTGTTTTTGGTGAAGTTGCTAAATAGTTCTCCGTTACTGTTTGGAGAAGAGAAGGCAGACACCTACAGTTTCAGTATTGTAGTGCTCATCTTACACTTCAGTTTTTTTCCTAGTGCTGGTATTACCAGTCTGTTTCTGGAGGTGGGGACTGTAGAGCTTAGTGCTCAGTTATTGAGGGGACTGTTAAAAATATCAAGGACTCTTACTGGTCATAAAGCATATTTGAGACAAATTCATGTCTTAAACTTCCTCTGGTAGCTGTTATTTTAAATTCTAAGGCTATTTTTGTAATAGTGGCTAGCTTAGCACTTTTTCTGGTGGGCTGCTTGCTTGGAATACATGGGGTTTTAAAAAGGGAAGAACATACCTTGGCCTGCATACATTGCCTGCTAGATAACTGTGCAACAACAATTTCTATTAAAGTGAATTTAGCGTAGGGAAAAGCAAGTTCTTGAGTCTTGGAAACATTGTCTTAATTATTTGAACAGGATAACAAATGATGCCAGAGAAGATGAAATGGATGAAAACCTTGCTCAAGTAGGAAATATTCTTGGGAATTTGAAAAACATGGCTTTGGATATGGGCAATGAAATTGATGCCCAGAATAAACAAATAGACCGGATAAATGTAAAGGTACGTGTTAAAAGTGTTCTCTGCCTTCAGGTTAGAGGTTGTAACTGGGAAGTTACAAGGAATGGGGTCACTGTCCCATCTACCTGTATTTTCAGTAAATATGCATTAAGATTATACCATCCTCTAGGTTGCAGTGGTTTGAACAAGAGATAGATCTTGGTGCGTGGGTATGTAGCTGAAAATTCAAGTGCTTCAGAGGGTCAGGAAACCTAAAAATATACAGCACAGGTCACTGCTTGCTCTGAAAACAACTAAACTTGATTGGATCAAAAGGCCAAACATTTACTGAAGGTGTAGCCAGAGGACTGTTGCTTGCCAGGGAATCCTGTATGTGGTAGGGAATTGTTATTTTTAACAATAGCAAGATTCTTCTGGATTTCCTAAGAGATCACTAGAATAATGGAATGTAAAATAAAACACAGGTAATTCATTGCCTGAATTCTTGTGGACAGGTTAATATTGGGGCTGGGAAGACTTTGCAATAATAGGTTTTGCAGGTGCATGGGGATATGGTCAGCCCTCATCTGCACATGAAGTCAGTCATAGCCAGTGACATATTTTTAATTATTATTGCTTTAAAGATGAACTTCTTAAAACAGATGAATCCTATATAAGTATGTCTTGGGGGTTTTCTTTCAGAGAGCAACTTATGAGGAAGGTAGCCATATTTTAGAAATCCCCACATGCTGGAATGAATAGAAGTTTTTACAGGCATCCTGGTTAAGAAAGGAAATGAAAGTTTTAATGAATAGCGTATATTGAAGTTGTAAAAAAGAAGTGAACACCAATTGCTGTAAAATTATAGAAGTAAGACAAAATGGGAAGGTAAAGATACCACTGTAATGCCCAGTAGGGTTAAAAGCAAGAAGAATGGCATTTTCTCAAATACATAGAGCTAGTCTGATGTATATGCTGGCTGTACCTATGTCAGCATCTCAATTTTGACTAGTAATTTAGGGGCTATGGTATTAATAAAGCCAATCAAGACTGTCTTATGGAAGATACCTTAATTGTCTTTCACTGTTCCCTGAAACTGCGAATCTGAGGTGATTTTCAAGTAAAAGAAGTCAAACATTTTAAAGAATACTAGAAAATTTAATTGGAGTTTAAAATGAGTTTATGAAGTGGACTGAAAATTGCCCGGTCAAATAAACTCCAAGTGGGAATTAATGATTTTAGCAGTAGGGTTTCTGGTAGTTTTAAGGACCTGTTTTGGCTGGATGCTCTTTCATTTTAGTGGTCTGAAAATATCTTGCTGATCAAGTCTTATTAACTATTAAAATATGATGTAAACAAGTTAGAATTGCTTTACAAAACAGTGCAATTCCTGCCTCTGAGACTGGCAACCTATCTCAGGATATTCAAATTACTACTTTCCTGCTGATAGCTGCTTCTAAATCTAGTGAACAGTGTGGAAACCAAATCAAAATGTTGAAGATAAATATCCAAAGGACAATATTATAAAGAAAAAAAAAAAAAAAGCAGTATTAAGCTTAACTTCAGAGTAGAGTTGATGCTTTTTTTTTTTTTAATTAAAAATTTCAACTCTTCTGGGAAATATATAGGCTTGACTGGGTGACTTTTGGTAGACTGCAGTTGTTACGTGAGACTTGCCAAACCTGGTGGGAAGGACAGTGAGGAAAGAACAGGAGGGAAGGGCATGAACTGTCAAAGTTCTCTCTCCAGCCCACTGCAGTGTGAAGGTGTGAAGTGGCAAATACTTGGCACAGGTAGAGTTTCTCAGGACTTCTGCTACTCATGGTGAGGGCAGAGGCTAGTTCTGTGCTCATTACCCCTCCTGCTCATTCCCCACTGCAGGCTGGATAATCAGGGAATTATTTTGAAACTCCTTATCATAACTTGCAGTCAAACTGTATTTTGATACTTGTTCAGCCTAGATGCTGTGGCTGACTTGATGCCTTATAATAGTAAAACAATTATAAAATAAAGTGCTTGTATTACGGACACCATACTATTACAACGTTAGGACACTGAGGGGTGTGTGGATGAAAAGCAGGGATTTGCAGTAAGCAAAGTAATTCTGACTATGCCCATAGGTCACTTGTAGTTGTGACTATCACTTCTAGTCCATAGCAGGAAAGCTGCTCTGTAGAGGTCCTTAAGATATCTAAACATTTGGAAGGAGGGAATTTTTATCCCGTTTTTCTGTTAATATTCTACCTGACCTGCTGAGTCAAGCTGCTGTATGTTTTGAGGGTCAACTGAAGGCTAAAAACTATTCCTCCAGGTTCTGTTTCCACCAAAATTAACAGCATATGCTCATTAGGGAGGAAAAAAAGTACTTCTAGTTTATAGAAGTTGAGCAACTTCTGTCTACTGTAAGGATAATACTTTGCAATTCAGAAGTTCATGTCAGTTTAAATTTCCAAATTGTTTTGCATGAAGTCTGCAAATGACCAATCAATTTCTCTCTTTCAGGCTGATACAAACAGGGAGCGCATTGAGCAAGCCAACATCAGAGCCAAAAAACTAATTGACAATTGAAGCCTGCTGTCATTGTTCAATGACACGGTCTCTCCAGCTGCAAGCCACCATATTCATGGATCTGTGAAACTTATCCTATTCTGAAATAAGAGGGGCTGGGAAAAATGAAGCAGTACCCTTTCTATAGGGATTAATTTTCTCTTTTTTTTTATTGCTTCATGTAAATGTGGCCTTGATTCCAAGAAAACAGCCAACATAACTTCTTCCTACTCATCTGCCTTCACTTTCTTTAAATTGCTCAGGGCTAAAAGTGTTACAGCTTTGAGAATCTTCTCGCATGTTTTATTCCCCTTCCTAGTCTCTTTTTTTTTTTTTTTTTTTCCTGCACCCAAATTACAGTCCTTTATTGAAGTTGAACAGGCAGGGTAACATGATTTCACAGTTGTGGAAAGTTGGAGAGGGCACTTTGCACTGTTTGAAATACCTCATCAATTGAGTGTCTTCACTAAAATAGGAACTTGGTGAATATTGTCTGAGTTGTGTCTTTAGCAGGCTAACCATAGTTTCACAATTCAAACCACATGATGGGTTTGGGGGTTGAGTTTGTGGATTACAGAATTGAAGAGGCCTGCTACTTAGTACTTGTGGGTTGAGGGCTTTAAAACACTTGCGAACCACATGAACTTTAATGTAAAGGTAACATTTTAATGTAAATCGACTGATTTGGAGGTCATGACTAGGAAATCATGCTGCATTGTTCTGATAATGTTATGTGTGTATGTACGTGATCTAAACCCCATGCGCATGTGAGTAGGAGAAAACAAATCTCTCTGAAGTATTTATTTGATGGAAAATCCCCTCCTCTGAAAGTTAACTTTTAAGTGTTTGAATGATGCATCTTGACTGGAAGAAACTGAGTAGAAGAACATGAAGCTTCCTTGCATCCTATATCAGATGCAATTTTGGCCGGTTCTCACTGGAGTTCGGTTCATGCCTTTATCCAGTGCAAAATAATGACTGAGCTCTGGTGCAGTTTGCTCTCAGCAGTGACTTTGGGGGAGCTTCTTAAATCTGAGAACAGAGAAGCTTATTATGAAACTTCCTTGTCACAAATCTGGAGGAAGCAGTACCTTTTTAAGAAATGGATGCTGTTTGTAAGTAAACTAGTTCTAAATAGATTGCTGACTGGTTGATTATTGCAGACTTTGGGATTGGCAATTGGAAATATTTTATGTCCAAGTTGCTTGTACCTAAAATATTCCTGTTCTGCTGCAGAATAGAAGAGTTTCTGACCGGGTGAGGTAAAGGTCTCTTCCTATGAAGAAAAGCATTTTTGCTTTACTGTAATGTAATCAGATTTATTTCCAGGATTTTCTTTAATTTTGGCAAGTAAATTCCAAGTGACCTGTCTAATTTTAACTCCATCCAGCAGTATATTATGCCTGTTTTAAAGGTAAAAATGATGCTTTGGACTAACCTGTGACACTTGGTGTTGGATGGCAAAAATCACTTGGAGGAATAATTAAAACTAATAGCATTATGGGAGGTGTTTTTGAAAGGACAGTTCACAAGTATCCTGAAGCCATTAATAATGAATCCCAGGGCTAAGGTGTAGACACTAATCTGCTGAAATGCAAGACTGTAAAGTGTTTTGTCTTCTTTTTGGTAGAAACACACTCAGTATTACTGGTGTATTCTCAGTTCACAAGGACAAGTTGATACTTAAATGGGAAAAAAAAAAAAAAAAACAAAACAAAACAAACGAACAAAAAAAAAAATCCAGACAAACCCAAAATCCAAACAAACCTGACCAACAGATGAAGCTCTACGTGTAAAATATGCCAGTGGTATACTGTCTTATGTGAATAAGGTGAAGTCATTTTCTAGGGGAGTGGATACTTCAGTAATGTGTGTGGTTTCTGTCTGGCTTCCGTTAATTGTTGGAAAGCTGATGAATTTTAAAAGCTCATTACCTACTCCATTAGTAAATTAAGATTATGTGCTTAAAACCATGACTAGAAAAGAAGTACTTTCAAGAACAGTGCATAATAAATTTCTAACCACTTGCATGGGAAGGCATAGGGGACTTGTATGCTTTTTTCTTCTTTCTTTCTTATAAACTTCAGGGTAACTGAAGGAGTATTTGCTGCTGGTTGTGAAAGCAAAGTAAACATTTAATTACGATTGTCTCCTGGAACAGAAGACTAAAGCAGTTACCTTACAACAGTGCAAACCTGCTCTGTAGCATCTGGACATTCCAAACATGGGAATATTTTTCTCCCTTGCCATTATAAGTCCATGTTCTTGACTTCCCTGAGCTCTAACAACAAATTAGCATGTTGGCTGAGAGAATGCTGTGATGGGTGTATCAGAACAATAATATTGCAATGAATACCACAGAAGAAAATAATTTCTGAGATTCTAAGCTTGAGTATTAGCAGAATATCAGTACTATTTTCTGATGCAGCAAGAGCCAAATCCATGAGGGAGTTGGTGCCTTTATGTTAATGAACAACAGTCTGCTTCTTGCGTTGTCTTACTGTTGTCTGTAGAGTAGATGCTTAATTTCCCTATCTGTGGAATGGAATCAACACTTGTACACCTTTGTATTTCTGAATACTATTAAGAATGAAGGTTTACAGTTTCTGCTTTTGATTGTTAAATGATGTATTGTGCACAAAAACACGTACTTCTACAACTTAATGTGTTTTAAAACTCTTTTGTCTTAAAAACGTCAGTTTCCTGTCCTTGAAAAACTTGGCAAAAGTAGTTGCTACTATGCAACTAGGAAGTTTCCCTTCTATTTTTATTTCACAGAAATCCTAATATGAACAAAGGAATGGGTGTGGTTGGGAAGAGGAATATTGTGATTTATTTTTTTTTTACCATGCTAGTTCTCATCCTTGCATAATCAATGTCACTTAACTTCAAACTGTGAAATGCGTCCATCTCTGAAAGACTGCGATTTGATACGGGACTGTATTTCATAATGATAATGGAACGAAGTAAAATAACTTAAACCTTCCAGTCAAGTATCAGTAATGCATGCCTAGCAAATACTTAGTCTAGTAGGTGAAATCTAGTGATTTAACCTACTGCCAATGCAATTTTATTTGAGTCAATTTAAATTGTATTTTTTCTGATGATAGAGCATCAGATTCCCAGAATGCTCTTAGCAGAGAGGAGGTAGGGGGGAAATACAGACTTGTGTTGACTTGCAGCAGTTTTGAGCTGCCGGAGATAATAGCATATCTGAGAATCACTCAGCAGAAGCACTTTTCATACAGCATCTTTCAACCACTAACTAGAAAAAAATAGAGGGACAGCCTGCATATTTGACTTTTCTGAGCATGCAGCACACATCCCATGGATACACTTCAGTGATGATAATTGGTAAATTCAAGCTAGCCTACTCCTTGATAAAAGATGAATTAAGAGTCTTAACATGGGGGTAGCTATAGTATGAACTGCAGCACATGCTGCTTGTGCAGCAGCGTGTGGAACTTACCCCTGTAAAGGCTACAGAGTAAAACAATTTGCTGTTTACACAACGCAGTGCCTTGCAGTTGCTAGTTCACCTTTGCTGCACTTTAAACAGCAATGTACCATCTAAACATTGATTAAATAAATGGATAAAAAGTATATTTTACTGCAGTAGAGAAGTGGAGACCAAGTGACTAAGGTGACATTTTACCTCAATAGTTCCCAAACTAAAGAGCTACAAGTGTAATTGTGCATGGAAATAAAATTGTTGTATCGTGTCACTTACAGAGTTGGAGTCATGAGAAAGCTGAGAAACTCCCGCTATAAAACTACCAATAGATTATGTAGTGCTAAAATGTACAGAGCAGTGTTCTAAGTGAGTTGTCATATATTGCTCTGAGCTAAAACATGAGCTTAGCAGCCCGATATTTGTCTTGAAACAAATAGTCTGTTCTAGAACAAATTTGCTTAATCCAGGACTAACTCAGCACCATTCATTATTTTGGATGATATTTTCTCCATTTTGCTTTACAAAATTTTTGAGAGCTGTAAAAACTCCATAGTAGCAAAGGAGCCTAATAATGAGTAAGTGAAAGGTTTCTAAATATACTAGTGATCAGAAGAGAAATCTTGACTTTCTCAAATGCTTCCAAAAGCATTTTTTCGTTAGCAATGCTAACTGCATAATTTTTACATGTTCTGATCTACTGTGTCTTCTACCATAGTTCTGAATAAGCAAAAGAAGCATGATACACAAATGTTAAATGAGAGAAGCAGCATTTCTGAGCACGTATATTTCCAATTAAAAAAAAGACAAAAACCACCTCCAACCCCAAACAGCACAACATTGGTAAGTGCATATTTATTGATGATAGACCATTCCTTTTGTAGTTGTCAGAGTTGGTTCGTGCGAAAGATCAATGTGCTAACTGGGGGGCTCTATTCTGTGGATGTTTCATGTATGGCACATCTCCAGGAAAAACCTAATCCTTCAAGTGGTGTTGAGGCATCAAGTAGAGGGAGCTAAAACTTATATCACACCTGTGCCTTTAAGCTATTCACTGCTGGCTTTCCATGTCATAAACTGTGGAGTCTTGGTATGAAGCTCAATAGGTTTCTGACTATACAGGGCCTTGCGTTATGGTAAGGTACAGGTTGTTTTCTTGAAGCACTTCCCTAGTTACATCTTGCAAAGTGAAGTAGCCTCATCAACATTGTCTGCTGTAAGCTGCTACTTAGAGGAAGATAGTAGTTTTTTCAAAAAGTAACACCTGGAATGGGGGTTATTAAGCAAAACTGGTTCCCTCTTCAATGACTGATCACATCCATCCTTGGAATAAGAAGCTGATGTTCCCTAAAACACTCTTACAATAGGTATTACTATGTAAGACTTGAAATAAAACAGCAACAGGGTCAGGGAATGAGATAGATACCTTTTCTGAGGATCTTATAAAAGAACCATTTATCGCTAATACTGTAGTTGTTACATTGAGGAAAAAGACTGTCACAGAGGTCATGTTACTTTTCTTAACTGCAGATGGTATAAGATGCTGAATACATTTGAGAATTACACCAGCAACGTTAAGGAATTTGCTGTCCCAATGCCCTTCTTGTCTCATGTAGGAGAGCTGAAGTAGAGAATAGTAGTGAAGCTGAGAATTCAGTTTCAATAGCTGTAACAGCTACTCAGCAGGTCTTCCCTCTTCAGTAGTTAAGGTAAGACAGTCTCATTAGGAAGAGATGCATCCATGCTTATCTTGCCAAGTGTACTTAGTACAGCTCCTAGTTGACTGTTTTGAGCCCACAGTACGTATTAACTGAACTGCTACCCAGGGCTTGACATACTCAACTCCTCTGTGGTCTCAAAGCAGTTGAAGAAGAGCTGTTACCAACAACTGATGGAACCAAGTACCCAAGCGATGGCTTTCCATGACAACTTCATACTTGCTAAAATGACAACAGCAGCAGTTACACTAAGTAAACTTGAACTGATTTTTTGAAAATAATTTACTAAAATAAACAAGTACATTTTCCTTTTTGGTATAAGTTATGCGATTGCATCCATTTTTAGCTCTTTCTAGGTGCTTTTGGTAATAAGGCAGCGGCAATAGGCTAGCAACTAAAACTTTCAGCGTTGCTCTCTACACAAGGAGTCAGTGCAAGGATATTGTATTTTCCAGCAATATACGTTTTTACTGAATACATTGAAGATGAAGCTCATTTTTCATTTGATACAGCTCAAGCAAAGTGGACTGTAGTGCAATTCTTGCTTATGGGAGAAGAAAGCCCATACAGTAAAATCTGAATGAAGGATGCTCAAACCATGATTTGTTTACCGGAAGCAGTTAATAAAACAATTAGCCACAACTATTTGTGCTTCATAAAAAACTTACACAAGTTATAAACTAAAACCTCATCTGTAAAAGTTCTCTGTAGAATAGCGCTTACTGCAAGACACAAAATGTTTCAGATCTGCTTTGGTGGTAGACCTTCCATGTGCTAGCATGGAAAAATGTTTCTAGAAGAAATGATCCTCTTACAAATCAACAGCCAGCTTCCTGACAAAAGGGAACTGGCAACATGGAAATGCTCATTCCCTTTCTCTGTGAAAGAACAAGCCCTGACAAAGGAGAACATGTATTGTGTTAAAAGCTATAGTGGCACAAAAATCAAAACTGGCCCCTGGGCAGGTTCATCAGTTCAATACCCATGTTCTCTAGTTCAAGTTTATTCAATATGGCCTTAACCGACCACATCAGACTACTAGAGGAGGAGTACTCTGATCATCTCCTTCACCAGTCTTGGTTTAAGTCAGTGAGGCAGGTGCTTCAGTCACTGGCTCTTCTTACTGGGAATACACAGGGTCAGAATAAAAGTCATGCAAACTTCTTTTTTGTAGCTGTAAATCGTTCCATGTACTATAAAGAAAATTAATACAGGATTCATTAATATTGAAAGCAACTAAGCTTCTGCTCTCAGACTCAAAAGCACTCTGCATCTAAAGCGTATTTTCATTTCCTAGACATAACCATTTAACTTCAAACAAACAAAAAAACCTCCAACAATTTTTTGCCAATTGCTCTAATTCAGATTAATGTTCTAGAAAGAAAGCCCTTGCAGTGCTGAACAGTCAAATCTCAAGTGTTAAGGATGAACTAACATTAAACAGTTAAGAATGCTGCATAATAGGAAGCATCCATTATTTTTTATCCCATCAAAATGAAGACATACACCTGTCATAAGCTACTCTTCAAAAGATGCTGATGAAAGAACCCTGATTGCGAATCCTATGAGAAAGTTCATCTTTGAAGAACTCTTGAAATTCTTTTCAGTTAGTTATGAATCCAGTACCAGTGACAATACCAATAGACTGCGCTTTTATTCACCAGCATAAAAGTTTAGTATTCCGAAAAGGTACTGGGTAAGGACTTCACCAGAAGCTTCTTTAAAAAAAAGACAACACAAACCTTGTCATAACCTTCCAGTTCTCTGAGTTTCTTGATTTCAAAGAGGTTGCCTTCTACTGCAAGCAGTGAGATCTGGGAATCACTGAGGATACTTTGAGGAAGCATGCTGAGTTCTAGACAGTTTTCTTCTAAACGCAAGACTTTGAGGCGTGGACAGTGGGAGATCTGCACAGAGATCTGGGAAATCTGGTAGAAATAAAAAAACACAGAGAAATGGGATTAAAATGTTAGTGATCCATGATTACTTAAAGTGATTTGTTTCAGACTAATATGGAACAATTACTGTGTTGTAAATTTAAATGACATTAACAGCATCTACTTAACAATAATGCATAAGGAACGATAATAATGATCAAAAATCCAAGTAACTTTTTTTTTCTTCCATAACAGGCAACCTACACATCTGTTTATCAGATTCTTACTCAAGAACTGTTCAAATAATTTTCTGTATGACTAAATGCAGGATTTGTTAGTAAATCGGGCAGTTGGATGTATAAGTACATAAGTTCTAGTTATGATCCCTCGTTTCTGTTGTTTGTGGGATATGTCTTTTAACTATAAAGTTTTGATGGCTGCAGCTTATGTTCTGTGCATGTCCTATGTCCAAGATAAACCATATCCTGAAATCTATATGCCCGTAAAATCTGTCACCTAACCTGATTCTGATTCAAATTGAGTTCGATAGCCTGCAATTCTCCCACAGTGTCGGGCACATTTTGGATCTGGTTTTTGGAAAGATCTACCACATCCAAGTGGCGAAGACCACAGAGCTGTGCAGGCACAGTCCGAAGCTGGTTTCCAGAAAGGCTCAGGGTTTTGAGAGCTGAAAGTTGTCCAAACGCAGCTGGTAGCTGCCTCAAGTGATTGCCACTCAAGTGTAATGTTTCCAGTTTTTTCAGTTTACACAGCTCCTCAGGTAAAGCAGCTAGAAATAAATGACAGAACAAAGAGCAGTAAGCATTCATACCAATTTGATTTAAATAACCTTCTGCATGGAAAATGGTGCTACGTTACAGTAATTTCTCACAGGATTCCTCCCCATTTCCCTATGAAGGCACAGATCCCTGCACAGAAACTTCAGCCCAATGACAACACATGCTTTTTAACCATCATCCATAAAGATCTTAAAAATGATCAGCAGATAAGGCAAACCTTCAAATCATAGCCTGAAAACACTACTCTGAAAGGATTTTAGCCTATCAGTTATACTCCTTACTAACTGCTTTGCCAATGTATTCTGTGACATTTGAAGTACCACACAATTCACAGCTTCAGGTATGCTTTAAAGGTATTACTTGACACACTCAAAGGTGTTACACAGCCATACTAAACCATCTGACACTATTAAACCTTCAGATCAGACAAGTCACAGCACAGAAATGTTACTGTTTTAAGTCCTTACATGTCATTGCAAAACTGATAATACAACTAAGTTGGCAACTAGTTTTGAAGAATTTATGGTTTGTTTGTTTGTTTGTTTTTTTTTCCTGTACATGAATTCCAAAGATTTCATTTAGGTGACTAAACTCCCAAGTTACATACCAGGAGAGTTAAATCATTAAATTTAGTTTCTGATCAGAGCAGTCAGGTTATTATTTTTAAAATCTGTGGAGATATTAATTAGCAGGCATACTCAGTTTGTTGTTGTTTAGAACAAGGCTCTTCAAAAAGGAAAATTTTCCAATGAGTGGTGGCAAGAGCTCTATTTTGTTGTTCGACAAGTCTATTGTCCTTAAGTTGCTTGTTAGCTTCTGCAGATCTTCAGGAAACTATGGGGGAGAAAAAGATACAGCACTTAAATTGTTGATACAATTTCAAATGTTCAAGTTACACAGCTTAGAATTTCAATTGAAATTTCTATTGCTGTGACATACTGTCATATGTATCACAATGTCCAAGCACTACATTGTGCAACTAAGTTGGCAAATTGGCTTAATACATATTTTTTTAAATATTTTTTAATCAGAGGAAGAGAAAAGGGATATAAAGGAGACTGTCTAACATCTAGGAAGAGTAGGCTTTAATCCAAAGATTTTAAATTAAAAAGGGACAATGAAGTATACCATGACATGGGCTCACCGATATTTTAGTTCTCTTGTCCATTCCTCTTAAACATGCCCATCATTTTAAAATATTCTACAGGTAGTTAACAACTCTTACATTTTAGCAGAGTAGGATCAGGATATTTTTCTCTTGCTTTCCTTTCTAAATAATTATGTAAACCATATTCCTTATTCTCATTGACGTCCCGTACTACTTTAATCTGAACTTGGCACTGAGCTGAAAAAAACGAAAAACCTGACAATCACTGTCAGCACGTCCTGGTCGATAGGCCAGTAGTTTTAATTCTCCTTTGGTTTGGCAGAGGAAAAGGGAAGAGAGAATGTAGGACAGTGGAGAAGATACTTTAGAAAAATCTTGGAAAATTACTGCAATATGGAGCTATTTTGGCTATCCCACGAATTGTTATTCGACTTATGGTTCCAGGATATTCCATGTTTTTCTGCAGTTGAGTCCAAGTCAATTTCCAATACAATAAACTTCAAGATGCTTGTAGCCCAGTGAGCAGCCTGTACAGACTATTCATATGACTACAATTAAATACAGCATAAATATCGATACACGACAAATTGTGGAATGTCTTTCTAGGTAACAATATGGTTATAAAGTTTACGTTTTTTCCCTCAAGCTTGCAGCCCTTTTTATAAAAAGCACAACATCGTAACTAGTACTTCTTGAACACACATGCACTCTTAAGCATAAGTTCATAAGCATACAAGTGCCCTAACAGATAAATCCTCAATCAGAAGACAATGCAAGCAAAAATCTCCTCTGCAAAAACGAAAAAAATAATGATGAATAATATTATTTCAATATTTATGAGAAACACCTGTGCAGTGCATTATGAGAATGAGGTAGGAGGAATCGCAGCCTTGCACACAAAGTCACGTTTCCCCTGCAATTACATTACCTCTGTAAGTCCCTTTCCCGTTAGCTGAAACACACCAGTTTTCTGTGCTGTCTCCAGGTGGGCTTTTAATGCGCTATTTCCCATCCTAACTGTTCTGTCAGGCGTACAGAGTTTGAGCGATAGTCTCAGCCAGCTTCTCTCAGTTATTCTGTGCTAGAGACTGCAGTCCAAAGTCTCTGTGATAAAGCAAATGTAAAAAAATCACTTTATGTGTATTGCCTTTAACAAGCATTTCAACATACTGAACCCTTTCACTCCTGTGTTTTCATCTCTCTCATAACTAAAATGTAGAACTTAAAAGATTGACCAAGCTTGAGGAGCCTTTGTTACAGCAGTCTGAAACGATGAAACAATGATAGTTTAAGCAGAAAAATTGCATACTTTCCACATTTCACTTCTTTCAGGGCCCAGTAGCATAAGAAGATTCTCCATGGAGACCGACTGTGATTTTAGTGGCATCTACCAGCACCGACCTGCCGTCAACACTACAGTTTTATTTGCCTTTTTGAAAACGCTTGTTTCATTTAGAGACTTGACTCCTTTGCTGTGACTAGATGCAGACAGAGGACCTCCATCTCCCGCAAACTTCATTAAGGTTTAATCCGCAGGACGAACTAAACCGGGTCACAGGCCGAGGGCTTAGCGTCAGGTTTTACAGCCGGGAGGTGGGGAAGGAAGCCTGAGAGAGCACGCAAACAGCCGGGCCGAGGAGCCCAAGAGACGCGGCACTCCCTGCCGCAACGGCGAGAAGCGGGTCAAGAGGAACCCTCGGCAAGGGAGGAAGCCAGCAATGACCCGTTACAGCCACCGCCCCCCCCCGCCTCAACCCCGCCCCGGCCCCCTCCAACCCACCTGCACAGACGCTGGCCGACCCTCCCCGGCGGCGGCGGAGTCCCCCGCGGTGCTCCGCCCTCGCCGTTCGAGAACCGCCGCTCCCCAAACAGCCGCCGGCTCCCCCGGAACCGGACGCGTCTCACCCCCTTCCCTTTCCTCTCACACCCATCATGGCGGCCGCCCAACGGCCACAGATCCCGTCCTCCGCCGGGGCTTCCGGAACCCCCGGCATGGCGGAGAATCCCCTCCCTGCTCCCGCAGCCGAGGCGGCGGAGGCTGAGCAGAGGGAGCCGGCGGCGAGCGAGCAGCAAAGCGCGGAGGACGGCGGGGAGCGGAGAGGCGCCGCGGCCGCCCGCTGGCTCTCGGAGGTGGGGCAGCCCACGGCGGAGGCCGCGCTGCTGGAGCGGTGCCGGGCGGCGGGCATCCTCGGCCAGGTAACGGCGCGGGGACCGCGCAAAATGGCGGCAGCGGGGCAGGTCGCGGCGTAACTGGAGCCGGGCGGGGGTAAAGGTTGGGGGAAGCGGTGGGGCGGGGCAGCTCTCCGCCTCCCCCGGGCCCCTCTGTCCCGCCTGCCTCGGGCACGCGCAGACCTTCGCGCTCGCCTCGGCGGCGCGTCCTCAGGTGAGGGTGCGCTGAAGGTGCTAAACCGTGTGACTCGTGAGGTAACCGCTCGTTACTTCGAAAGGCAGGGAAGTTTTCCCTTCTGCGATGGGATTTCTTGCGGGTTTGACTGGTGACAGCCTTCCCTACTAAGAATAACCGTGCCTTCGTGTGTGTGTTTTCCCGGAGCGGGGACGGGAGGGGCCGTGGTGTGCCGCAGCAGCATGCGAGCCGGTGTCGTTGAGAGTGTGCTCGTACTGCCTTTTGTGAAATTTCATTTTCGCTTATGTTAATTTTCCCCGAATAGGGCATCTATTTTGTGAGTTGTTTAGATTAAATTTACTGTATTGCATAGTGCAAGCGTTGAACAGTAACTGTAGACTAGTCTTGAGGATTTGCCTGATACGTTCCTACTGCTGACTGCATTTTTTTTCCATTGTTTTCCTTTCACAGGATACATTAGATTTAACCTGTAGAAAATCCCTGTGCTTTGTGAAATTCTCAGAGATGGAGAAAATGGCAAACATGAGAGCTGAGATCAATGAGGTACAGCCTGTACTGTTAATGAACACCCAGCATTTCGATACTTAGAGATTATACATGGCACCCGAAGAAGTGTCAGACTGCCATGTGCTATTGTTTCATATTTTGTAATTTTTTTAACAGTTTAGCACTTTAACAGTTGGCACATTTTCCCCAGTGGACTGAGTTGTTATAAAGAAAAGAACAAAATTATGAAACAGAAGTTTTCGGTATTTTGGTGTAACTGGAAAGATGTAGCAGCCCGCATCTTTGGCTGAAGCATTACCTGAAGCTTTCTGAAGAAACTGAAGAACAAATAAGAATTTGTAGTTGACTTCAATTCACAAAAATGTGTTTCTTTATAGGCAACTAGACTGTTTTGTTAGTTAGCAAGAGGTAACCTCAGTCATTTCCTACTGCCTGAATTGGCTGGTGGCTTGTATTTTATGATCATGTTTTCTGAGCATTTTCTTGCTGGTACAAAAACTATGCTTGTTAAGTTACACGATGTGGGCTTCAGCAGCTACAAAGCCTTACTGCAAAGCAGCGTGACAAATTCACCATTTACTTTTTTGGAGAATGAGTTAAACAGCTAGTATCAACCTGTATTGATAGGCAGAAGGAATTAATGGTTTCCAGCTCCCAGTAAAGTGGCTTCTTACCTTCCTTTGAAAGGTTTCACATACAAAGTACTCTCTCTAACAATTGTTCAGTATGCTGTGAGTGAAGCAGGTTTATTTTTGTCTTCTCCTCAGTGATCAAGAAAAGCAAAGCAGCAGTTCTGTGTGTCCCGAGAGACTGATATGTCATCCTTTTCTGTACTTTCCTCTGTCTTCTCTTGTCTAGCCGAAACAACCACAACTTTTTCAGCCACAGGAAGGTATCTGCTGCTCTTGTGCTGATTTATCATTAGAAAGAATTAAAGCTGAGAGTTTCACCTGAGGGAGCTTTTCCCACAGCAAAAAAAAAAAAAAAAAAAAAAAAAAAAAAAAACAACCCCACGCAAAACAACTGACAGAACACAAACAAATCTTTGCCAGAAGGAGGAAACTTGGGGCTGTGAGAGGTCTTTAGTAGTTTATAGACTGAAATGGCTTTGCAGGAGATGTAAGTTTCTGTGGTTTAGGAATTAAGCGCAGGATCTGTTTTTTCTGGCACAAATTCCCAATAAATCAGCACATTGTTTAGTTTTTTTTAAAACAAGCTTTCATATTGGCCCCACCTAGCAGTAGAAGCACTCTAGAGTGCTAACATGCTCTCATGTAAATTCTCACTCCTTCCCATGTGCACTCTCCCCCATGCTCCCACTTTCTCCCTTTCTACTTCCTCTCCCACCCCAAGAGAATCAACAATATCTGGATAAGTATGTTAAAAATGCATTTTCATTTGATGTTATTGTTATTGTAGAAGAAACTGAAAGCTGAAATTCTGCAGTTGGAGAAAGAGACAGCAGACATTGCTCACCCTTTTTACTTAGGTAAGTGCAGTTGTACCTTAGAAGAACCAAGAGTGGTAAATGGCTTTATCAGCAGATGAATGTTTCATCTGGATACATGACACTTTTAGAAGTTATTGCAGCTGTCTCCACTGGATAACGTGTTAGAGGTGGCATGTGTTTTACTAGCCCCTAAAGAATGCTTCCATACTGATGAACTTGCACCCTCTGCTGTCTCAGTAGAAGCTCCGTGTGTAACTCATTCTCCAAAAAAGTTGTGTGAGTGGTAAGTAGAGTTCTGAGATCATCAGTAGCCCGATGTGCTTCCCTTGGCCTGTGTGGTACTTTGCTGCTTTTCCAGTAACTCAGTATATTTCCGCTGTATCTGTATGCCCCTAAAATTACTTGGATTTTTATTTTAGTATTTGGGGATCATATGTTATTAATTTCTCTATTATTTCACACTTTTTCCACTGTGATTTGATGAATGCTTAAAAATATTCTAGCTTGCTACTACTGTGTTAAGCCAGTATGGTACAGTTTAAGTCAGTTTCATCTCAAAGACAGTTTACTTAATACTATAGATAATATAAAACAATTAACAAAGCTATAACTCTAAAAAGTAGGTGTTATGACTTTGAGGTGCATGCTGATATGAAGTCCTATACACTTTAACAACAGTCATCCTGTTTAATGCTATCTTTCTTGAGTGTAAACTGTCCAGTGCAGTAGATCAGAATTTTTCTTTCTGTCTGTCTCTAGAAGAAATTTTGCTCTTGAATTAGCAGGACAATAGGTTGAACTTTGCAATTTTATTTTATAGGCAAAAAATGTGAGATTTTGCAAGATATGAACAGACACTTGGAAGCTGTACTGAAAGAGAAGAAGGCTCTTAGAAAGAGGTTGATAATGCCCAGATGTCAAGAAAGCCTGCCTATTGAGGCTACTTTTCACAAGTAGGCATATAGAAAATAATTGTTCTTTGTTTATATGAGTCCAAATCAATTTGAACTAATCAGCAGTAAAATTCACACGCTTTCATTCACTTTTCCATTGATAAGAATAGAAATAAAACATGCAAACAGAACCTTAACTAAATGCTGGTAGTTTACCTATTGCTAAATCCATAGAAAGGTGGTGATACTTATTTTCATGAGTATTTGCTTAGTTTATTGGTATTGTCTTCTGAAGATTAACAGATGTGTCAAATGCTTGATTGATTATGCTTCCCCATAGGCAGGGATTGTTACTTCAGCATTTAGTGTTTCCCTTCCACTGTGATTGGCTCAGAACAAGTATGTGAACAGTTCCCAGACATGGATAGTACATGTTTTTAGAATGTAGTCCTAAATTAATTAGATGGTTTGGAACTTGCATAAAACTGGAGAAGAGGACTAAGAAAACCCACAGGGGAAAGAAATAAGAGCTTGGAAATAAAAAATCCTCATTGTTTTGCACAACTTGTGAGTAGGGGGCTCATTCTTGATTACAGGTATGTAGTACAATTGTTGAATGAGGCTGTGACTTTCATTGAGAAGCTCGAAAGCCATTTGCAGACCATAAGAAGCATGCCTCAGGTACCAGGCATCATGAGGAATATGGTGAGTAGCAAAAGAATTGAGCTTTCCGTCTCTTCCAGCATTAAGAATTCAGTGCTGTTTGGTTGGTTTAGGTTATTTTTATGTGCTGATAGATTGACAAGATGTATAGAGATGAAATCCAACTCTTTTCTGCTTCAGGACATTGCTTTGACAAAAACAGAGGTGCTCGTGGTGGAGTTGGAGGAACTGACAGACCAAATACTGAAATGGAGAGAGTGGCAACAAGAAGTGTATTCTGACAGCATCTGTGATACTGCTGGATTGGATTTTGGCTTATCTTTAACCTAACAAATCATTTTTCCTCAGATAGGATGGCTAATCAAAGAACTACCTTTTAATGGTCTTCTGTGAAAACCACAACATAGTGGTGCTTTAATCCAGCAGGGACTTTTTAGGTAATGTTTCTGTTCTTATGTAACAGTTCTCCAACTATTAAAAACAAACCAGGAAAGGACAATGAGTAGTAGCTCATAGGACAGACTACTGAGGAGACTGTTAAGGAGTTCTGTCTTGAAATAGTCGGACAGGATTCCCTTGGAGCCTGTATCTTCAGTGCAAATTTGTTTTGTTATTTTTTTATGCACTTGCTATAGTGTCTTTATTAATTTTTATAAGCGTCTTAATAATACACTGTATTTTATATGTTGTTATAAAATGTCAATAAAAGCATTAGACTTCAAGAGCTGTTTCTTGCTTTTTATTTTGTGATAAATTCTATAATTATAAGAACAGTGTAGAGTCTTAAGTGCCAGCTTATGCTTCCATAGGAGTTCTAACCAAGAAACTAAACTAGTTTAAAGTTACAGTTTATTATGGCTGACATGCTTTTGTGGGAAAGTAGGGAATGTACTTGGTGGTACGTGGCAGGGTGTACTGATTTGCAAGCCACGCTTCTATGATAGTGATGATATATTCTTCAGTCTCATTTTCTGTTGCTTGCCCTGTTTTCAGTTGTGTGTGTGTGTGCGTGTGTCCCTTCCCAGTTAAAATAAAACTTTTTCCATGAGCATGACTGACAACTTAGCAAAAACAATGATTGTTCCAGTCTGCAACCTTAGCAACTTTCATGTCATGAAAATACTTGTCGGTAATACATCAGTGGCAGGACATCCATAAATCAGGATAGTTGGTTGTCTTTGGAGGACATTCAGTTTTGTATTCAGGATACAGAGCAGGCGAAGTGGTGTGGGTGCATTCCTTTCTACCGTTGTATCGTTTAAGTTATTTGAATTCGTATGTCCAAGCTGTTGGTTTCTGTTTTTGGAAAGAAGAGCCCTTTATTTTTTGAAAGTCACCACTAGGTGGCTCAGTACTACACAAAGTTCACTGTAGTTCTGATTATTGCATAAAAAGGTAGAATGAAGGAAGAAATCAACTTTGGTTCTTTGTTGAGCACACTGTGATTTGACTTGCTTGTAATTGGTCTACTCTATACTTGAAATTTTTTGAGTATCCCATTTTTATCTTTTCAGACTGCATCATTCTGCTGGGTTGAATGACAAGGTACACAGCTAATGACAAGGTATATAGCTTAACAGTTCTCCAGTGTGCTACATAAGTGTAGCTGATGCTCCTCTCTGCTGCTGTTGAGAAAAGTAAAGAGGATAGAAACAATTTCTGTTAAGTCAAGCAGGATGTCACTAGATAGGATCTGAGAATATAAACTGGCATTTGAGTCCCATAACTGTTAATGGGGTCTTTGTGTGGACACTTGCTCCATGTCATTGCAGGATTTGAGTCCAAAGTCCCGTGTCACAGTTGTTGCAGGTGTGGAGACAGTCTTCCACATAATTGCAGAGGAACTGGCATTTTTACTGAAAATGCTTTGCACATTCTGTGAAACAGGAAGAAACAGGGTCCAGACTTCTGGAATTGTCGTCCTGTGCATCTTATCACAGGCTTAACCTCTATCTCATTGTCTTACAGTGATAATTTAGGTCAGCTGTTGTCATCCTACTTCTGGACGCATTAAATTAAAACATTTCTAGTTAGTTTGTTCATTATAATTTCTTGAAGGCAAATATGAGGTTTTTGCCATATCCCAAAGAGTTTCGCCTATCTTCTTTCCTGTATCCGTTATTGGAGAGTTGGCTGTGGAGAGGGTAGAATTTAGCTCATGTCATTTGCCGTTGATGTACCAGCTCATTCTTCGGGATAATTAAAGGGATAGATCTATTGAAGTAAAGAGTGATTCGCAGCTTGTAGGTATTCATTTTAGCATCTCTATGGTGGGTCTTGAGTTGGGAAAAGTGTTGTGTCCAAAGGATCCATCCCATACCTCACTCTAGCAGGTTTCTGTATTGTTGTATATTTTTAATTTAATGTTTTGGGAGCTTAAGGCAAATTGTCTCATGAGGAGAACTAAAAGTACAAGTAAGCAGTACAGGTAAAAGGCAATTTAAACAGAAGTTGTTTAAATGAACTGTAAAATACTCCTATGTGATATTCAGATATAATTCAGAGCTTCTTATATTTTGAAATGCAAAACCAGAAAAAGTCCAGTTAAGTATGAGTAACAACACTGGCAAAAACCAAACAGGAATTGTCTGGTGAGCCTGGCATCTCACTTACGCCAACGCTAGTTGCTCTCACACTTCCACAATAATGTCAGTGGCTGACAGAGACAGTATTGTAAAAGCACGGGTTTTTAAACTTCTGGTGTTTTTTTGTATTAATCTGAAGTGCAAAACTTTTATCAGTGCAGTAGTTTGACATTGATTTCAATTGTAGTTCTGTGGAAGTTTCACAATTTTATTTTACACCATAAATACAGCCTACATAAAGATGGGAGGTTTTCAAAGGAATTTAAAACACTTGAGAGCTTGTCTTTAGCCCTAAGAAGGAAGGGATGCTTACCTTCCTTAAATTACTGTCAAATTAAATTTAGAATGCTTTGCTCTTTAACGAGTGCTGGTTTTCTGATTGCCTTGGCGTTACTAGGAAAAGAAATGGGATCAAGCATACGTAGTCTTAGACTGGCGGTTCTTCACTGGTGCGAGGGGGGTTCTCAGGGAGAGTCCCTAGGCATTAGCGTCGTGGCAGCACCCATCTAAATGGGACTGTCGGCATTAAACTCTGAAGTAAAATCCAGGTTGTTATGCTGCTGCAAAGGAGAATTTGGTGGTGCTGCCCGTTTTAAGCGTGGAAACGGCGTCTTTTGGCCTGGAGGTCCCGCTCTCCCTCTTCTAGGCGGAGAAACCCCGCGGTTTGGGTGCCGGAGGCGGCTGGGGGGAGTGTTTTCCCGCCCCCCCCCGCCCCGCGTGCCCGGGCAGGGGCCGTTTCCCTCCCGGCCGGGCCCTCCCCTCGCTGCGGGGCGGGCGGCTCCGCTCCTCCCCGGGGGCGGGATGCGGGGCCGGGGCGCGGGCGGCCGGGCCTGAGCCGGAGCCGAGCCATGGCCAACGTCAAGGTGGCCTTGAGGGTCCGGCCTCTCAGCAAAAGGTGCGGGGCGGGGGGGACGGGGAGGCGCCGGTGGGCAGCGGGGCGGCTGAGGGGGGCGGTGGGGTGCCGCTGGTCCTGGCATCGGGAGCGGGATCGCCGCTGCGAGGGGGCTTATCTGGGACTGAGGGAGGGACAGCGGGTGCTGAGGGGGCTTAACGGTGAGGTACGAGGGGTGGCAGGACTCCTCTCGCCGGCTCACCAAATAGCGTGGAAAGTTTTCTTGGAGAAGTCACCCGCCGGAGCTGTTCGGCTGCCTTCCCTCTTCCTGAGCTCCCCAAAATAGGACAATTGTCATCCAGTGTCAGGGAATCTTCCCTTCCCCTTCTGTTGTTGCTGTTTTTTCCAGCGAGAGGCAGAGCCGGAAAATCCCATTGTCGCTCAGCTCCGCTCCCTCCCCGCCTCAATCGGCTCCAATAGAAATCCCAAAAGCTGAATGATGAGGCTTGAAGACATCTCCCACAAACAAAAAGATACTGTAGCACAGTGCTCTGGTGTTGTCTGCATATAATACATAGGCAAAACCTCCCAGACTTTGGAAATTTGAAAAGAAAAAGAAAAAGCAAGCAGCCAAATTTCAGTGGCTGGTAATTTACTCCTCCTGTTAGAGAAATGCTATAGCACTTCAACCCGAAATGGTATGAAAAGTGCTACAAGCTCTGAGGGTCAGTCTTTGATTTGATGCTCTTTCTTTTTAGCATGAGTCCCTCACATTGTTTTCTGAGTGCTTTGACTTCTGTGATAACTTGCATGTAGTAGAGAAAATGATTCTTGAAGAGTTGCCCAGCCAGAAAGCTAGCCTAGTCATTTAGTCGTCAGTACACTAGGGTATTTTGGACTATTAAGTTCTTATTTGACCTTTTTTTTTTTTTTTTGCAAATAAAGATACCAGCGAGTGTTGAATAAAATTAAAAAAAAAAAACAAAAAAAAAACAAAAAAAAACCAAACAAACAAAGCAAACCAAACCTGCTAGTCTTAATAGAAAAGGGGAAGGTAAAAAGTAATTTACAGGTTTTGAATATATTTTACCATTGACTCCAAGCTAAGTGATTTAAAAATTACTTTGTTCATAATTTAAAAACATGTTTGGGTAATATAGTTCTGATTTGTTGTACAGCTGTGAATGGAACAGTTTTTAATAGATACTGGCATATTATAACAAGAGTTGCAGCATTGAAGTAAGCTGAGTTGAACCTTTCATTGCTTAACGATGCTTTAGTGTTGAAAGTATTATTTGATTTTTATTTTCTTCCATATTGTTAGTCATTCTTCAGTTAAATAAATTGCCATTATGCTCTCTAAAAATAAAAAGGAGTATATAAGTGCTAAGTATTAACATTAAATGATAATTTGGTAATGATACTATGTGATACAGACTATAGGACCCTTTTGTTTCAGTCTTGCAGAGCTCACTGGAGTCTGAAAGTATTTAAAACTTTGACTTGGAGATATATTTCATTGTGCAGTCAATGACGTATTTGTTTCTCCCACAATAGCATTTGGCTGCCTATTTGCAATTATGTAGTGGACCGAGTAGGATCTCCTGTAGACATAAGTTTAAATGAGTGTTTCCTAGCAGCTGGGGAAGAGAGGCCAAAGACTGAATGGGCAGGGCTGTAATCTTCCCTTGCACCAGATCCTCCTCGGTGAGGAATTCTGCACCACATCTGTCTTAATGTTTTTTTCCCCAATGGGAAAATGGGTGGCATTACATAGTGCATATATCATTATAGCATTAAACAGCTCCTTCAACTCTGCCAGATAAGGTGTGATAAATGGGAAGACACTTCGATACGGTCAGTATGGGCCAGCTGTTTGGTAGGGAATGTAGTTTGGAGGGGAGGGTAGGATCTGAAAGGTGGACAGCCTCCTGAGCGTGGGAGAAGCTAATCTGGTGCTGAAACAGAAATGTTTGTATGAAGGTGAGAGTGGAAACCCAGGCTCTAATTTGGGAAGGGACTGTTAAGTAATCCCATGTGCTCAACCTGTGACTGGTGTCACAGATGGGATGGGGAGGCAGAGGCCACTCTTGTGGTGTTTAACCCCAAAGGGAATTGGCCATTTATTCTTCGTACGGTGTTGCCACAGCTGAGGTCAAGGAAAGCATTTCAAGATGGATTTTCTATTTTATAAATGGGAAGGGGAAGTGATTGAATATTTCTCTGTGAAGACTCTAACCTGAGAACTTGCTTTCTAGCCTTGACCAAAATTGTCCAAATGTAATGATA